ATCGATCTCGATCAAGGTCAAACCCCTTCGTTCGGGGCCGATGAGTCGACGCTCGGAACCCGGGGGACCCGTTACTGGTGGACAATTTCGTCAAATAAACTGCCGGACATAATTATCGGGACAAGTAAAATTTTAGGGTAAATTTAAAGTTGAATATCTCTTGAAGTAAAAAAGATTTTGGGATGCGGTTTGGACCAGGTTTTAGATGCATTTATTGTGATTAAGATGCTATGTGGTTTTCGAAAATATATTTAGCGAATTCTCGTATACAGGGTGTTTTATAAGAGAGTGAAAATTTGGTTAAGAATCTTTTTTACCGCAAATTTACGAGTTTTAAAAAATCGAAAATTTTACCAAGTACGACTATTCTGTATTGAAATTAGAAAAAAACAATTTGATCGGTTTTTATTTTTTTTTTGTTTTAAGGAAAATAAATTTTTTTTCGAACAATATGCATTTTTAGTCATACGTATGGTCCTAAGTGGTACAAAAAGCTTTGTACATTCTGCATATGCCAAAAAATTATTAATATAGAGTGTATCTAAAAGCAGATAACTAACACAAGTTAAAAAAAACTTCAACATCAGAATAATATTTTTATTTATAAAATAAGTAGATAAATTATAATAAAATTTAAGTTTATTTAATATTAAATATAATTTTTGAACACCCTGTATAAATCGGTCCAAATTTCTGTACAGCTAGTTTAAGATACACGCCATATCAATATATTGTAGGCCTATGCAAAATGTACAATGCCTTTTGTCCCATTTAGGACCAAATGTATGACTATTGTTTACAGTCCCGCAATTTTGCGGATCCGCGGGATTGATTGCTTTAATCCCGCGGGTTTGCGGGATTGAGATTTTGGTGAGGGATTGCATTCCCTATTTTTGATAAATGTTTTTTACTACACCTATTGTGTATGCTGCTTATTTAGGTGGTATCATACTAATTAATTACAAAAAAAACGTATTAAAATATTAACAAAAGGTACAAAACTAGTATCTACGTATAGCACATATCAAGTACACATACACAGATGACCAATGCGTGTTGTATAAAATTGATTTTAACCTCATATGAATCTTATCTTATAGTGATCTAAGCCCCCCCAAAAGACTTGAGCCCCCCTAAAAGTATATGTCTAGTGGCGCCCCTGTCTGTGCCCATATTTGAAGTGAAACTTCTTACTAACAGCTATTAAATTGACATTTTCTGTTTCCTCAATAGCCTGTAAATTTTGTGGAATACCACCCAAAATACACACTTTTATGCAAATGCCCATAGCAAATACCTAATAATGTTAACCCTTAAATTTATTTAAGAAGAGAAAAATTTTTGAACCTAACCAACAATTCGTATTTATAGTGATTTACAGTATTTTTATTAAATTATACGAATATTCTCGTTGATTATTGGTTTGAAATAAATATGACAATGTTCTCCAATGAAAATGCGTGTTGCTTAACTCTAATAATTCTAATTCTGAGCTAGCAAATGAGCTAGCACAATGATGCTTTACCTAGACCGTTATTCAATAATTATAAAATTCCATAAGAAAACGCTAAAAAGATAAAGTGGGCTGTTTATTTACCTATGAAACGTAACTCCTGGGTCTTTCTTATCGTTGCGGCTTTTACACTTGAAAGGGGCTGAACAAATCACCATTGTAGTAAAGTTTATACAAAGTTCACTACACACAACAAACTATAAAAATCGCTAAAATTTTCGCTGATGACACATCCGTTCCTCCAATAAAAATGTCGTCTAACAATACAAATTCTGCTTTAGCCCGTATATGGGCATTACGTATTTTTGTATTCTTTAGTCATTGTGCGCCCCTGTTGTACGCCTAGCATTATTTAACTGACATGTATAAAACTGAATTAAACGAAAAAATGTCCAGTTTAAACTGAAGTTTAAACTTTAGATTTATCTTAAGTTTTAACAGCAGGTATAAAACTAGGCCTTAACGGTATGAATTTAGCCGGTTCAGCTCTGGTTTTAAGATAAAGATTGAGATTATAGATGTACATATTACCAAAGATTGAAAAACTTGGCATAAGCGAATAGATGTGAGCCAGAAGCCGTAGATATTGTAAATATCGAAAGTAACGTATTAAAATTATTTTCGGATTCCTTAAGACGTGAAGTTTTGGGATATGGCGAGCAGCCGCCTCTATAACGGAGCATAAAAAAGATAACTTTTATAGAAACCAGACATCCTGTACGTTTTATATTTGGGAATTTGACTGGCAGTGCACTTGTAAACTGGAGAGTTAATGTACGATAAAACACAGGTCGGAAAATTATTATGTACTTTGTTTTACATGAAAATATATTAAATTTTATTTTATTTAAAAAAAGAAGCCGGTTTTTCAAGGCCCAAACCAACACTTCTCAAAATTAGGTCAGAAAGTAAAATTTGACAGATACCCAAGACAAAAAGGGTAAATAAACTCTGATATCATAATGCATTTACCCAAAAGAGAGATCTATATACAAGTTCATACCAAATAAACTTTTAGTCACGTGATTAAGCTTGACCCCCACTTTTATATAAGTATTTTATTTTAATCAAAATATTTTAAAAAACAAAAATAAATTAATTATAAATAAATAAACAGTTATTATTTACATCAACAAAACTCACCTTCTTAACAGCACTTAAGGGACATAAAGGTCCATTATTTTACCACTTTCCCGTTCAAAATATTCTAATAAAGTTGCGATGAGTTTCTTACGGCTATTAAGCTATCTTCTACACTTCGCACTAAAAGGGGTTCTAAAAAGAACAATGTTCGACTGCGAGGTCTGCTAGTAAACATTTTCAAGCTTAAAGTATCACAACACTATTTATTTAAACCAAAAACTCCTAATACTAAACTGAAGTATCAAAACGAATGACAATGTCAGGAAATAAACAAATAAATGCGGCCAACTTGACATTTTTTACAGCACAGCTACCACCTGAATCCCCAGCGCGAAATTAATTGTTATTAATTTCCAGTTAGTCAGCACGGCGCCGAATATGCCCATGGTTGGCAACAATGAATTTAAAAATCGCACCCTCGATTACGTCACTAAAAGTTTAATTGATATGAAATATAGTAAAGTATCCCGTAGTTAAAATGTAATCGTCTCACTATCACTTCGGAAATAAAAAGCGGCAATCTATAATATTAACCAGTAGAGAGACAGAAAACAGATATAAATCTACTCAAAAAATACCTACTCATTAGTATTTTATTGTCGCAACCATTTTACAAAATCACTGGAAATATCTTTTTTATGTATGTATGTACATCCATTTGATTTTAATAAGTGTCAATCAAAATTACATAAAACCAATTTAATGTCACACTGTATAAGCTGGAAATACTAGTTTTTCAATCTATCCTCATGATATATGTTTTAGCACACACGTCGTTATTTTGAAAATTAACGTATAAAACACAAACGTAAAACGTATGATCCTTTCATTAATGCTACCATACCGAGAAAAAAAAACGGCATCAAAGACTGGTAGGCAAATACAATCGATGATAATTTTAGGGAGGTCAAGCCCTAGATGTCATTTGCTTCGCTCTTGCTCTTCTTTATTTTTTAATGGCTCTTATACTGCCAATTGACTTTAAGAACGTTGTAATTTATTTTTATATTGTGTAAAAATTATTTTTAAATGGTGTATAGGTTAAAATTCCAGAAAAAATATTTTTTTGGAAATAGATTTGTGTGTCGGAAAACGGGGGGTTTTATATCCTTTTTTAATCTTTCTATAACTAATGTTTTAATTTTCACTTAAAAAAACTTTTTAGATGAGTTCAACTACGGTAGCGAGCGTAGTTTTAATCACCGGTTTTGCTAGTGGGGCATAATTGGAGCCATTTCGGCTATAACGAATTTTTTTAAGGGTACATAATTATAATTTTAGAAGATGTTCATAAAACATTTAACCATTAGTTGATTAAAAAAATATACCATTAATATTGCAAATTATATTTTATCCTCTCATGTAACGAGCACTTTGTTTACTCACTTGTTTCGTCGAACTGCTTGAATCCAGTTTTGCTATTGATCAAATCGGTGTGAGAACTATGAAGCTATAAAATAGTTTCGGGGAGAGTTGAATATCCGGGAAAGTTGTGTTATTGAATGTTATTGCACCTAACAACGCCTTAATTACGCTCTCCTTTACGCGTTACCATTTTTTCGGCAACTTTATTAACATTTGAAATTGTCACAACACAACAAGGCGCCTAGTTCGAATTCTCAGTGAAAACTTATTTTTTAGTACCCGAAACAGCATTACATCACACAAACCTCGTTTTTTTTCCATAACAAGGGGCCGTCCTCTGCCGGAAACACTGCGACCTGTGAGGCCTATTGTGTTTGTCCCCCTTCTATATCTGCACCCATTCTCCTATCCCTGTGCCCTGCACTAGCTTATGCAGGTCCTTGATAGGATGGGAGCATAGTTCCTCCGGTTCTAGCCTAGCTTTCCCAAATAAAGAGTGCCGCTTGCGATCCAGAGCCTCGCAATGACATATTATGTGCTCCGCTGTTTCAGGATCTTTATCGCAGAGTCTGCAGCAAAGACTTCCTTGATACAGGTTGAGCTTGTTCAGATAACACTTGACAGCCATGTGTACACAAACCTCGTACCTGAGTGTGTTAAAGTCTCAATAACTGCACTAGCAAAAAACTAAAATACTTAAATATTATGACAAAACCACGATTTCAATATTATTTTAATGCGATCAACATGACGGCAGCGTGAACTATATATATAATGATAATTTCAGATTTTTGTCGTTGAGGCGCTGTGATCGGAATTTGTCGAAATGAACTGAAATTCACTCAACAATTACCTTTTTAAAATTCATTCATCCAGAATATTTTAACTTTTTAATCTATGATTTTAACGTGTTTTGAATTATATATTGGATATTATTTATCACAAAAAGATACTTCTAACATTTTTTTTCTTTTTTTAGCCATCATGCAACAATCAATGGTCACATCTATGCAGCATCGTGACACTATGTCATCTTCAGGACTACTGATAAGTAAGACATCTCAAATGGACTATTCCAAATATGTAAAGAAGTTTTCATCGAACTTGGAATGTGGAAATTCATACTGCAAAGACTTAAATTACAGGTAAATACCCATATCCATTTTAAAAAAATGGCCTAATGACATATATTAATAGTGGACTCTGAACATAAACGTAGTTCCAAAGTGCTACAAAAGTCGCCAATTCCTATATAAAATTCGCTACAAATTATGTTACTGCAGCAAAATCCCTCCTCATTATTATAATTTCCAGCTTATTTAATTAAATTTGCAATTATGGTGTAGCCTCCCTCACATACTCTCTTTATACTTGAGTCCGTTGTTGTCCATTGTTGGCTATGCGGGCCCAAGTTATCCCTGCTAATTTCCTAATATCATGGTCCCATCTCAGGTTCGGTCTTCTAAGGTTTTTAATTCCTCAAGACTCATTTTTCAAGACTTCTTGATTAAAAATTGCTGGTTTTAACACATGGCACTCTAGATTGAAATTTAAAATACTATTTTTTTAATCAAAAATTTAAAAAATTGATATTCGATATGTCATTCTATTCAGAATCAAATAAAGCAAAAAATACCGAGAGTACCAATTAAAAATAAAAATTTGTAAGAATTTCCGATGAAACAGGAACTGACCGAAACTAATTGAATACATCAATCAATCCTTATTTATGTCTTATACTAACATACCAAATCTCGTTTTTTTTATCTGAAAACCTAAAAAGTTATAATTGGGATAAAAACACCTTGTATATCATTTCAATTAATTGAGTTTATTTTGATTTTAGGGAACATTTTCATTGTCTGGACTGCAATTCTCGGGTTTTTATCAAAAAGGAAGAAATGATTCGCCATTTTAAATGGCACAAAAAGAGAGACGAATCCCTACAACATGGATTCATGAGATACAGTCCTCTAGACGACTGTAGTGATAAATTTTCTAACTGCACGCACAACAAAAAACAAACTCACTATCACTGTATTCAGGAAAATTGTGACAAAGTTTATATTTCAACTAGTGATGTACAAATGCACAGCAACTATCACAGAAAAGACAGTGCTATTATGCAGGAAGGCTTTCAAAGGTATTATTTATTATTTGTTTATTTATTGGCCAATGGTAAACCATTTTATATTTATAAATCTAGTAAAAAAGACATATATAAATATATAAAAGTATAGAAAGGAACAATGGTGCAAATGCAATCTGATATTAGATATACAGGGTGGTCCGAATTGTATTCCGGAAACTTCGGCAGCATATTCTGCAGATAAAAATAAGTAAAAAAGTTCGTATAAATGTATGTCCTAAAATGCTTAGTTTCGGAGATACAGGGTGTAGAAGTTTCATTTTTATTTCGATTTTTTCCAAATAATCTCTAAAGTAACGTCAATATTTAGATGAAAATTGGTGGATGGGTGTTTTTTGACATGAAAAATTTGATTTTGATGTCAATATGACTCCCATTTGTAGGTGGCGCCACCTACATGTGTTTTAACTGTTTTGAAGAGTAATAACTTTTCGTCGGTACCTGAATAAAACTACTGAGTAAAAAAATATACATTTGCGACTTTTTTTACATAAAAAAGGTCTCTTGGTAAAAATCGCTACTAGTAATGCTTCTCGAGATATTTGAAATCGAAATTATCAATAACTTTCATCATTGACATAAATTAAACATGTTGACTAAATAGTAATCAGACTGAAATCATAAATTTGAAATCTTTTTGTGTCAAAAGTTCAAAAGAAATTGTTTAATCATCATTTTTTCGCAGAATTTAATTTAAAAAAATAAAAATGTATTATTTCAGTCAAATAACTATACTCAACGTGTGCTTATTTTTTGTCAATAATGACATGTATTGACTATTTCCATTCTAAATATCTTGAGAACGGTTGCTCGTAGCGATTTTTACCAAGAGAGATTTTTTATATAAAAAGTCATGAAAATGTATATTTTTTTAGTCAGTGGTTTTATACAGGTACGGTCGAAAAGTTATTAATCTTCAAAACAGTTAAAACACATGTAGGTGGCGCCCCCTACAAATAGGAGTAATTTTGACATTAAAATCAAATTTCTCGTGTCACAATACTCCCAGATACCAATTTTCATCCAAATATTGACGTTACTTCAGAAATTATTTGGAAAAAATCGAAATAAAAATGAAACTTCTACTAGTATCTCCGAAAGTAAGCATTTTAGGACATACATTTATACGAACTTTTTTACTTATTTTTATCTGCAGAATATGCTGTCGAAGTTTCCGGAATATCAAAGATATATGAATGGATAATCTGGAGATAACTAAAGATACTTCTTTAGTTACAAAGAAGTATCTTTAGTTATACTAAAGATAACTAATGATACTTCTTTCCAATCTGATTCTAAATGTATTAAAAGACACCCCTAAAAAGTCAAAGTTCTTATTTCCATTTACGCATGATACAAGCGATAATTAAGAGGCATATTCTGAGAATGCCTCGTATTAAATTTACCATTAGCCAGCACATTATTATGCCTCAAAATGCTAGGGTTAACTGCAAAGTTTATTGTTGTAGTAAGTCACGAGAAATTATAACAATTTAAAAATAAAACACATAATAACCAAAAACATTCTGCTATCTTCTAATGAACTCAACGCAAAGTGGGATTTGCACTGTATCACTTTTATTGTGTATACAGAGTGTCCCATTTTCATTCAGTAGAAGTAGAAAGATGCCGTTTTCATTTCAAGTCACTTTTGTTACTTTTTTATAAAATTGTGAAAAAAAAGACACCCTGTAGATAATATGTTTTTGATTAATAAGGTTATTTTTGTTTGTTATTAGATACCGGGCGACTGAAGAATGCGGCGCATCATACTGTGCGTTTTTTGGTCAAAGAACGACTCACTTCCATTGCAGAAGAACTGGATGCAGATTTACCTTTAAAAATAAATCAGATATGGGTAAATATACAAAATAATGATAGTAAAATACCGAATGATAAAAAAAAGCGTCAAACCGTCTTTTTTTCGATCGGATGGTATTTCATAAATTTAATTTCACCTTTTTTGTTTTTTTTTAGAAAAACATAAAACGTACCATATAAAAGATGAACAACTTTCGCGGGATGGATTCAAAAAATTCATGAAAAATGAATTATGTCCTTTTGAAAATTGTCGGTTTTCAAAAGTTTGCAATCATATACATTGTATCAGACCGCAGTGTTCTTATGTGCTTCACAGTTCTGGGCAGTTGTTCTCCCATAAGAGAAAACACGAAAGAAAAGATAGTGAATTAGCTTACAGGTAAATATATAAAAATCATATCTCATATTTATTGACAAAAATTATTCCATACAACGGAGTATTTTGAATGAACTTTTAATGTTACAGGAAATATAAACTAGCTCAAAGTATGATGAAGACTCTGTCTGATGGGGGAGTACCTCCAGGCCAGTTAAATCCCTTCAGTTCCTTTGCTAGGGACTACGAGGCTCAAATTGACCTAGCTAACTTTTATAACCAACAAAACTCAGTTTCAAACATGTCGAATGTCTCTAATACCGAGAGTTTAAGTGATAGAAACTCTCCATTAAGTTACAACGATGAGTCTGAAGGTATGTTATTAATTTATCAATTTCTTGTTTTTCAGTGTTTATAGTTAAAACCTTGTCCTATTTTCATGATTTTTTTATTAAACTGTAAATAAATCTATTACATATATAATTGATAAACTCAGATTTTTTAAACTTTAGTATTTGGCCTATTATACAGAGTTAATTGAGGGGTTGTTTTTTACCGTAACTTTAAAACACCCTGTGCAATAATTTTGTGAGTGACTTTTCCTAAAACATTATTTTTCGATCGGAACCATGTCTCCTTAGCATTTTGTTTTTTGACTCATGCCAACACATGGCTTGGTTAATTTTTTAGAGCGTAATGAACTTGCCATAAACATTTTGCAATTTTTTCAACTATCGTATTATTTTATGATGTTATTTTTTAATATTACGAGGTGGCTTTTGTCGTAATGTCATATCGACACTGATTAGAATTCTATATTAAAATTTAAAAATCGTTAAAACGCAACGATACAGGCTTGGTTTTAAAAAATATTAGTAACACTAAAAGAACTAAGGATATGAAAAACAATAACTGTAATAACTAAGTCTACAAACAAACCAAAAACTTGTGAAAAATACTCTAATACTTGTATTACCTCCCTTGGCTGTTATAACTGTCTACCAGACATCGGTTCATACTATTAATGAGGCTGCAAATATATTGTGTTATGTTTTCCCATTCTTCTTCAAGGACCAAGCGAATATTCATAATTTCGGCCATCTTCAACAAGATCACTGACTTTTGCACAATCTTCGACACTAAGAACCATATTCAATCGTGCACAACAATAATCGCCAAAGCCATCTAGTCACTATGAAGAATAACATCAAATAATTAAAAAAATTGCATAATATTTGTTGCAAGTTCATTTTGTTCTTAAAAATTAACTAAGGCATGTGTTGACATATGTCAAAAAACAAAAATAAAACATGGTTCTGGCCGAAAAATAATGTTTTAGGAAAATTAGCTCACGAAATTATTGCACAGGGTGTTTTAAATTTACGGTAAAAAGCAACCTTTCGATTAACCCTGTATAATCAGTCAAATACTAAAGTTTATGATAAACTGAGTTTACGAATTAAAGTTGATATATTTATATACAGTTTGCTAAAAAAAATCAAGGAAATAGGGCTAAAAATAAAAAATTCCAAATTTTAAACTTTTCCGTTGCGTTTTTTGCATTTTGAGTGTAGTTATTATTTATTTTAGGTGCATTAGCAATGGATCTTAGCGCCAGTGAAGCTTCCAATTTACCTTCACACGAGGACACGTTCAATTGTGATGATTTTTGGCGAAAATATTGCCAGTTTGTGCCAGAAAACCAGCCGTGTAATTCAAAAAATAACTGTGAGTACAACTTCCAAGAGCACTATCATTGTATCCAAGACAACTGTGAACTAGTGCTGCTATCTAAAGAGAATGCCAAAGAACATTCCAGGAACCACGAGCAACAGGAAATTATAACAGGTATGAACGTGGACGAAATTATACAGGGTGGTTCAAGCAGTGCCAATGAAAGATTAGAATTTTGAACTGTTTTTTTCGAAAATTTGTATTTTTATGTAAAGGTACCTGCGTAATCGACCTAAATTAGTTTCAGCGTTACATTGTTGCCGCTTCTTTGATAAGTAGCAGTGTCTTTGTTATTTTAAATGGGACAGCCGGTATATTATTAATTTTTTTGGAAACTACTTTCATTTTTTGTAATTTTTCTATTATACACTTCTATCTATCTCAACAGTTTTCGAGATAAAAATAAAATATGTATAGAATTAACAAAAATATAATCTTGAATAAGCATTAGTAAAAATAAATTTAAAAATCGCTCCCTCGATTAGCTAACTAAAAGTTTAATTGATATGAAATATACTCGATCTGTCTAAAGTAACCCATTAGATATCATACAAGGAGGTAAAAAAGATATTAAAGATTTTTTCCAACAATATACTATGTCCCTATACCTAAATTTCTCGGAAACCATTTTAGGGCATATGTTTATAGGAACTTTTTGCTATAATTTTACCTGTTGAATCACCCACCGGTTAGGTACACTATTTTTTAACACCCTGTATATTTTTTTACAGATAATTTCTTTTCGATATCTGAAATAAACGAGCCTTGTGAAGATCAAGCCTGTATCTACCAGAACAAAGAAAGGCACTTTCACTGTAGCATAGATAACTGTCGAGAGATAATACTGTCATCTGACAAACCTTTTCGAAGATTAGAGCATTACAAGATGCATCAATACAGCCAAAAATTAAGTCTGACCAAGGATCCGCTCACTGCTACCCATCTGGCTACCAGCATAGACGGAATGTTCTGTAGGAAGCGGGGGAGGCCACCGAAGAACCGGGTTATTGAGGTCTGGAATGATTATAACGCACTGGGCGGATCACAGAGCATGATGGATAGTCCTCAAGCTATTTTTACCAGTTTTAAACTTCCTAAACCTTCAACGACTCTTTCGAGTGGTAAAGATATCGAGCAACAAGATGAAGAGGATGAAAAGTAAGTTATATCTGTATGGCAACTAAAAAAAAATACTTTAAAATTTTCTTGTATTTTTTAAAGTTATATGTTCTGTTCTGGTGTACAGATTTTAGAGATTTTTAAAGCAATTTGTAGCTAGTTTATTTGGCGTTTTAGCCCTTTTTTGATTTGGAAATTAAACTTCTTATCTATCTTCCTCTTTTATATACAAGGGAAAACAAAATGTTGATAGCCGACATATACCGGGTAAGTCTCAAAAGTGGCTCACACCTAACTATTTCATATTTTCAGATAAAAGAACGAGATTTGATATGTTAGTATATAACATAAATTAAGGATTGATTAACGTATTCAATTTTTTTCAGTTACTTCCTGTTTCACTGGAAATGACTACAACTTTTGATTTTTAAATGACACCCTTGGTATTTTTTTACTTCATTTGATAGAAAATGACATTCTGAATAGAATGACGTAGCATATGTCAACTTTTGACATTTTCAGTTAAAAAAATACCATTTTAAATTTTAATTTAGAGTGCCACGGCCATAAATGTAACGACATTTTGACCCGAAGTACCAAATGTGTGGTACCAAATTATTCGTCAAAAATGATTTTTCAAGGCATCTTTTAACCGGTCAGGACAAGAGACGAAAAACATTAGTCGATCAAATCTATTTTTCCTAGGCTCCTTGATTAAAAATTAATGTTTTTAACACATCCATGGCACTCTAGATTGAAATTTAAAATACGATTCTTTTTTAAGCGAGAATGTCAAAAATTGACATATGATATGTCATTATATTCAGTGTGTCATTTTCTATCGAATAAAGTAAAAAAATACCGAGAGTGTTATTTAAAAATCAAAAGTTGTAGTCATTTCCGGTAAAACAGGAAGTGACCGAAAACAATTGAATACGTCAATCAATCCTAATTTATTTCATGTACTAACATACCAAATCACGTTTTTTTTCTGAAAAAATAAAAAAGTTATAGGGGGTGAGCCACTTTTGAGACGCATTTGGTATACAAGAAAATTTTAAGGTGTCAATTCCTTACAGTATCTACATATTACTTTAAACACATTTTTTTTAGAAATATGCAAGTGGCTACCAGAAGATCGCCGTTACATTTTGCCCCTACTACACCGGATTTTTCAAACATGCTGAAAACGTTTGACAGTTACAGTGAGAACACTAAATGTCCCGATACTCTCTGTCCCTTTCTCGGGATGTCACATTTTCATTGTAACAAAAAGAGATGTTTCTATGCTACAGATAAAAAAGATTTCTTAATTAGCCATACGAAAGACTTCCATGAAAATATCGAAATACTGAATAATTTCGAATTCTACGATCGAGTAGTCGACTGTAGACTGGCAGGGTGTGCATCAAACAAAGTGAATAGGTAAGAAAATAAATAGTGAAACTAAAAATACAGTACGCTTTGTACAATTATGTTTTAACAATATTTTTGTGTTATTCTAGACATTTCCACTGTACGAGACCCAACTGCAACTATAGTTTCGTCCAATACTCCCAGATGGCAGTTCACAATCAAAAACACGAGGGCTCAGTAGATAAATCTCTAAGTTTTCCTTCGATCAGAGTAAAGAGTGAAGAACTGTTGGTTGAAAAAGAACATGACACTAAGTCTGGAGAGTATGGCATTGTTAATTTAAGCCAAAGTCAGAATGGTGGGGAAAGCAATAAAGTTTCTGGTAAGTCCTATATGCATATACAAAAATAAAAAAATATATTCTTAAAAGTTTCTTACTTATATTTTAATATTTTTTTCTATATACAATTTCGTCACACTAAAATTTTTGTCATTTTTATTACCTACTTTATAACTTTCTTATTTTTCATTCTATTTTCATGAATTTTTTACCAGTATGTTGATCGATTTATTGTAATTCTTTTTTATTATGTTAATTTTTAATAATTATTATCATCACATAAACATTTTTGAAAGTTTACAAAAAATGTAATCTTTTATACTTTTAAAACAGTAAATAAAACTGTCTTAATAACAACACTGAAAGTACAATCAGATTTAATTACAATAGAATTTAATAATTTATCTTTGCTGCTGGCTGAAGTAATAAAAAAATCTAATATACAAAATAACCCTCATTGACGTTTTTAACTTCCTAAGAATTAGCAAATCTCAAAATCTATATCAATGACTACATCGTTGTTTAAAATCACTAGTAATGCACGTTGATAGATCTTTGTGGATGAATGTTATTTAAAGCTAACATCAAAGTTGTAAATATATAGTGTAAATTATTGTTTCTAGTGGTGAGGGCTTCTGGCACATTTTACCCTATATCTACATTACCAGTAACGGTGGACCAGCCACGTTCACCGCCTAATCATGTCATTTTGACAGGTACGGAAATAATAACAAGACCCTAGCTGTCACTTTAACATTAATCCGAATAATACAAGTCGTTTATCAATTAATATATTGCTTTAACGTTCTATACTCACCATTTTAACATTTACTAACTATACTGGCTATGAAAATATATAAACTTCTGTAATAAAAGAGTCCATGCCTCATTTTGAATATTCCACTTTCGTTGTTGTAGAGGTAGCTACACACGTACAGTTTTTCTCAAGGCTAAATCACAGGCGTTCAGAATTCTTTGTTCAAATGACCTACACATAATTAGATTAGATTTTTTTGAGGTAGAATGTGGAATGTTTGGGAGGGGGGTAATCACCGCGACCTTACAGATCTATTGTGTGTCCCCCTTTCTTGAATCTACTCTTCATACAGTCTCGGGACTTTTACAAGAGCCAGTATCTGAGACGGCTTCACAGAGGCTAGTTCTGCATCTCCGATATCAGTCGTACCAAAGTTTGTGGCACGAATAGTTGCCATCTCGGCGCACTCAGGGATGAGATGTGGTGTTTTCCCCATTTTCCACACAGAACCTGCATTTATCGTTGTTTCTTAACATCAATCAAGTAAGGTGTTCGTTGAGGAGACAGTGTCCTGTTAGAAACTCCGCGACAATTTGAAGATTGTTTTTATTTAAATGAAGGAAATTTTTCATCAAAATTGGGATAAATTTTTTCGAGTGTCTTAGACCGTTGGAGGATTCCCATTCCAGGTTACGGATGGGAATATGTATGTTAAAAACCGCTAGAATCCGCTAGGAGCAATATTGAGAGTAAAATTTTGCTTTGTCGCCTATTTTTGTACCTTTTAATAAGGCTTCAATCACCTGATGAGACGGATTTAACGTGACTTCGAAGATTTTATGCGATTCTAGATCTAGGTTCTTTAAGAATGTATAGTTGCACTATTATTGGTGCACATTTTGAAAAGTATCATTGTTTGTCGATGTGCCTGCACAAATCAGGTTTGTCCAAAAAAAGGCGGCATGTGCGAAAAATCTGAGCGCCTGTGGGGGCCTGTGACGTTCAGGAACGCAAGGCTTGAACTTCGCTTATCCAATCTTTGAGAAAAAACTGACTACTATACTATGTGTGGTACTACCTTAAGACATAGCATACACTACAACAAAGTCTTGTTTTGAAAGAGACAATAATTTCTTCACACATTTCCCAAAAAAACAACGCATATTATTATCCTATCCCGGCATGTTTTTCCATATCCAGAACTTTAGAAAACATTCAGTAATACACCACCATACTCGCAAGCATCCAATACTCATAAAAATAACAATTTTTCAGATAGTCCCATTCAAGATTTTGATGCCCAATCAACATCTTCAACAACCTTGTACAGCCCAGAGATCTCATGCAGTCGGCCATTTTGTAAATTGAAGCGAAAACCGCATTACCATTGCAATGCCTGCAATCAGGCATTCTCCGAACTGGATAAGCTCGTACCGCATATGGCCAGGCACAGTTCGGGGGCATTGCAGAATGCCTCGTGCGTTTTGGACCAGGAAGAGAACATCAGAAGTGGGAAAAATGATGAGCTGCGTAGTTCAAGGACGGAAGGAGCGATTAGTGTGGCTAATTTATCAAGTCTACAGGGTGGTCCGGTGAGTCTTGAAAGATTTAAAAATAGTATTATAGAAAAAAACTAGTTGTCGATATTATAGTATTACTGTGTAAACCATAGGTGTAAACCAAAGACATCTAACTAAAGGGGAGAGACATCACTCTATTTGTTTACAATCAAATACGTTTAGAATAAAGTATACGTAGGGTACCGCTTAAAATCCTGTCCCGATATTGAAGGACGGCTATAGAATTTCACTGCATTTCCTACATAAGTCTATTCTTGTATTGTAGGAGGTTTGACTAAACAAGGAGGAACCTATGTCTTGAAACCATTCGACTCGATTTTCTGTCCTCCTTCAATACTGGGACGTAAATCCTCTCATTGCTCTTATGGGGAGGCCGTCGTATATTTTATTTAAACGTATTTGTTTACAATCATACATACTTTAACACGTTTATACAGGATGATTCACGGCCATGGCACATTAAACGTTTATGGAGATCCGGTGATAGGATTTCCTGCATCTGTCTAAATTATTTTCAGTGTTACAGTGTTGCCGCTTCATACTAAAACATGATAGCATCTTCGTTACTTTAAATGGAACGCCCGGTATATTATTACATTTTTCGAAACTTCTTTCATATCTCATAATTTTTCTATTATGCTAACCTATACCTATTTAATAGTTTTCGATATAAAAAATAAAACATATGTAAAATTGACAAAAATATGATCTTGAATAATAAGCATTGGTTAAATTATAAATTCGGCATATTGAAAGCTGAAATTTGGTTTATAGGTTAAGGAAAGTCGACATATTTCTGTTTAAATCAACCAATTGGATAACAAACAGGGGGATCAAAAAACATATTTATTTCTGTTTGTTTTAAAATAGCTCAAATCATTATTATTTTAAATTCAAGCCTATGCATATTATTAAAAAAATCGAAACACAAATAAAAATGCTTTTCAACCATATATCATGTTCCTATACCTACACCTTCTTGTTTCTTCAGTAAAGCCAAAAGATAATAATTCTGTTATAGTTGTTTCGTTTAAAGAAAATCGTTATCATGAATCATGACAAATATTTAAACTTTATAAGTATCAGTTAGACTTTACTGGCTAAATTTGCTAAATTATCGTGGTAACGAAATTCTTGAAATGAAACTATAATAAAAGTAAAGTATTAATTTTTAAATGTAGGTATCTACTGAAGAAACCAGAAGGTTTAGGTATAGGAACATGACAATATATCGTTGAAAAGCAATTTTATTAGTCGTTTGATTTTTTAAATAATATCCATAGGGTTCAATTTAAAACCACGAATATTTCAGTTCTTTTATAAGAAAAGGAAATAAGTTTTTTTTGCCTTCTTGTATATGATATCCAATCGGTTACTAGAGTTATTTTAGACAGATCGAGTATCTTGATTTCCCTTAGCCTATAACCCAAATGTCAACTTTCAATATACCTACTAGATTCATGATTTGACCAAAGCTTATTCCAGATTATGTTTTTGTCAGGTTGTCAGGTATTTATAATATTTTTTTTAATCTCGAAAACTGTGAGAGATAAAGGTAAAAGAGACAGGTATAGGAGTATATAATAATTATAAAAAACTAAAATGGTTTCCGAAAATGTAATAATATACCGGTTGTTCCATTTAAAATAACAAAAATACTACTACATTTGGAATGAAACGTTAACGCTGTGACGCTCCAAATAATTTAGATCTGTGAAGCAGATAATTTTATGTAAAAATAAACAAGTTTAAAAAAAGTAATTCTTGATAAACAATCCGACCCCCTATTTCACCAAAAGGCGTAACTGAAAGATCAAAAAAATCAGATTCGCCACTTAAGTCTTCCCTAGAGGCACAACTTTTATCTCAAGAAGTGCTGTAATTGTATCTATAACGGTATCAAGGCAGTGATAGTATTTGGATACGGTATCAAGGCAGTGATAGTATTAAGTAACTTTTTATTTTGTTCTCTCCTGACGAATTTACTACATGCGAGTGATTGTCCCTCTCTGTTTATGTAAATTAAAAACACATTTCAATAATAAATCTTTATTGAACATTTCAGGTATCCCTTGAAAAAACAAACATATCCACGCCCAAAGAACCATCTACCCCGGAGACACCCTATTTTTCCACGCCTACTTTCGATGCCTATAACCATTTTAGCCAATTTCCTCCGAATTTTGCCACCCAGATTGCCATCATGCAACAACAGAATGCCTTCTTACCTCAGAGCCTATACCAGCAAGGCGTTCCGTCTCAGCTGATGTTTCAACATGCCCAGTTAATGCAAGGTCCTCTGTTAACCCATCAGAACCATACCTTTCCGGTAAGTTGTCATTTTATTAACGTTAAAATGATTTAGTTACGCAGTGGCGTGCTGTGACATTTTTAGAAGGGGAAGCGCTGCTTTCCCCGCTTCCATGAACCGCACGCCCCTGTAGTTACGTTATATTACTCTGTCGTTAAAAATATTATTGACCATGAAAATGTATCAAGTACAAACATAGTATAAGAAAAATAGTACTTTTACATTATTATCAAACCTTTTAATCTTCTTCTGCCACTAACTATAACCATCTAAATTTTAGAGTAAAATAGAATTTATGAAATAGCTAAAATATATTAAAAAACTGTAAAAACATTAGTGTGAAGAAGGTGTGAAGCAAAAAAAATATTTCCATAATACCTATAATGCAGTTCTTACGAAATAAACTTTTAGTTACGTCACAGAATATCTAGCTACGCAACAGAAAAATACTCGAAATGAAAGAGCTAAAATTGCACAAATAGAATACTAGATGGCGCGACAATATCATAATCAGAATATAATTAGAAATTTTGAACTTTCGGTTTTGGATCGACGGCTCGTGGACGGCCTTATAGCTCGGCTAAATATGCACAGTTGCCAGATTCAAAAAGACTTAAATTGGCATCCCATTCTTTTTATTGTGTATAATACAGTATGTGTTTCTATTCTTCTTTTCTTGTCAGATACACTTATATTAATTATTCCTTTGGCTATTAAAATAGTTTTAAGTATATTATTACAAAACATATACATTTTTTCATCATATTACAATGTCACCGAAAATACGTAGTATCCCAAGTTTAAGCCCAATCGAATGCCATGTACGTAATATAGTACTATATTATGGTACCAGTTGATATGCTTCATGGTACCATAATAATGCAATGTCATCAAAAATACGCAAGTATATATCAAATATGAGCTCAATCGAACGCCAGGAAATGGTATTGAAATATGGTACTATATTAAGGTACCACTTTATATGCATTATAGTACCATCATATTACAATGTAACCGAGGATACGTAGTATAACAAGTTTAAGCCCAATCGAACGCCAGGAAACGGTATCGTAATATGGTACTATATTATGGTACCTCTTATTATGCTCCATGGTACCATAATATTACAATATCACCGAAGATACGTAGTATCCCAAATTTAAGCCCAATCGAATGACATGTACATAATATGGTACTATATTATGGTACCAGATGATATGCATCATAGTACTATCATATTACAATGTCACCGAAAATACGTAGTATACCAAGTTTAAGCCCTATTGCCGCCATGTACCTAATATTGCTATATGGTACTATAGAAGGTACCACTTTATATGCTCCATGGTACCATGATATTACAATGTCACTGAAGATATAGTATACCAAGTTTAAGCCCAATCGAACGCCATGTATCGTAATATAGTACTATATTATGGTATCACTTGATATGCTTCTGAAAAAAATGGCGTCCAGTTGGCTGGAAAAGGACGATCGATGACATTTCCCATATAAATTTACATATAAAATGACAGCGATATTCATTTCATAGCTATCGCTAACGCCGTTTTTTCCCGATTGTACGATATGAACTTGGTAACACAATCAACGTCAGGAAGTGGTATCATAATAGTTGAACAATACTTATTATATTGTCGCCGAATTACAATGAAACAGCTCTGATTTATTTTAATATGTTTAAATGATGTAGCAAATTTGAAGGTAGGCTTTATCAGGAAGTATTACGATATGAATTACACAATGGCAACACTGCACAAAATTCTTTTAAATTTTGTTTGTAGAAAACTGCTTTCTTTTAAATTTATTGCCCTCTATTATGTAGTAGTGAAACTACCACATCAAAATATCTGATTTGGAGACAGGCTTTTAAAGCCTGTCTCCTTTTGCTACCTACAGTTTTATACATGTAACGAGGCTTCTGTAGCGTAGCTAGATATTCTGTGGTTACGTGGTATAAGCTTGACCGGAACAGCGTTGCCGACTTTTATATATTTTCTTTTGATCAAAATATTTTAGGAAACAAAAATAAATGAATTATAAGTATATAAACAGTTATTATTTACAACAACAAAACTCACCTCTTAACGGCACTTAAGGGACATAAAGGGCCATTACTACCGCTTTCCCATAAGTTCCGATGAGTTTTTTATGGCTATTAAGCTATCTTGTACATTTCGCATTAAAAGAGGTTCTAAAAAGAACAATGTCCGACTGCAAGATCTGCTAGTAAACATTTTTAAGCTTAAAGTATCAAAACACTATTTATTTAAACCAAAAACTCGTAATACAAAACTAAAGTGTCAAAACGAATGACAATGTCAGGAAATAAATAAATAAATGCTACCACCTGCATCTCCAGCGCGAAATTTAAATTTCAGTTAGTCAGCCCGGCGGCGAATATGTCCATGGTTGGCAACAATTAATTTAAAAATCGCGCCCTCGATTACGTAACTCACATTCTATTAAAAATATGTTACAAAATAAAATTAACTAGCTACTTATATGATAAGCTACAATAAAATGTTCTTTATCTTTTAGACTGAAAATTTGACGTCACCTTTAGCTGCGATGGCGGCAAATTTAAACAAGAGAGCATTGAGTCCACACGATATGAGTCCCGATGCCAAAAAAGCGAGAATTCATAACTCAATGAGGATTTTGAAGGATGAGCCAGTTCCCGCAGGGTATCTAAGGTTTCGGTTCAATGAGGTAAGTTTTTCTTTTTCTTAGAAATAATATGATAACCGAATATGAAACCGACGACAATAATTGTCCGCGGTTAGTATAACACTTTGTAATTCCCGCGGTACATAGATAATTTTATTTCTTACTGAATTTAGTATATTTTGTCACATTTTAAAAAACACAAATGTTGCATTTATTAATCTTCCGGTATATTTGTATTAACGCTGCTGGTAGGAACTTTGTTTGTTGCCAGGTATTACTTACCTACAAAATGTTTATTTTATTACAGGACTGCAAGTACCAACATTGTGGCTATCGAGAGCACCAAACGCATTTCCATTGTCAAAGACAGGACTGTGGGTACTCGTTTTGTGATAAAACAAGATTCGTGCAACACACGGCAAGACACGAGCGACTTGACACCCTTATGGGAGGTGATTTTCAACAGTACAGAGCCAATGTGGCTTGTGGAAGGCAAGACTGCGCTTATACAGCAAACTTAGGTAAGTCTAAGTGATATTCTGGGGCTAAAAAAAGTTATTAGAATAGTTTGTTCAACACCAAGATGCTTCTAATGCGGACAAACATGATTGAAATGGTTGGCTATTCTGATTTTGCTCTATTGGTTGGCAATACCCTTAAATAAATTCAAATATTTATTGGCTGTTAACGCCTAGCATCAAAACAAAGCAAATATTAAATAATGTAATTAATTTTTTGACGATATTTAAATTCGTATCCATAATTTGTTTCTTCTTCAACACTGAAAGAAAATTTACAAAATTAAAAAGATTCTACAAGTTTGTTCATTACTTTCGGATCGCCAAAAAAATGTGTGTGCACTATGTGCGCATATTTGAATCCTTTAATTTAATAGCTGTTAGTAAGAAGTTTCACTTCAAATAGTGCACACACCATTTTTTTTGTTGGAAAAATCTAAAGTGTGCTAGATTATTTACCATCTCGGTTTACCATCTCGGTATTGAACAAAATGTAGATATTTAACCTAATCATATTAAATCTCCTAATTAAAACCATTTTTTACAGGTTCTACCCAAAACAAGGCTTCGCACTTTCACTGTCTCAAATGCGACTTTGTATGCACTGACACAAATAAGGTAGTGGCCCACAGAAGACAGCACCAAAAACTTGACAGTATCCAGGCTGCTGGATTTGAAAAGTTCACCCCCAGTCAAATTTGCAGAGTTCAAAACTGTCAGCACAGTGGCAAACAGACGCACTACCACTGTCTAAGTTGCCAGTACGCTGTTCTAGGGTTAGCTCAAATGAGCGCTCACAAATACAGACATATCGAAGGTTAACATAGATAGAATTAAAATGAACAAATACTGAAATCAGAACGATATAATTAGTACTCCTATAAGGTTAGTATACAGTAAAATATACCATGTAGCCCGATTATACCGATTTGGCCATCGAAACTGTGCGGTCTGGATTTTAATGTGTAAGACAGTCATGTCGACAGCTTAATGGAAAATCAAATGTATTAAAAAGAGATAAAAATTAGGTCGACACATTTCTTCTATCCGTACACATTTTCCTACAAATGTAAAAAACCGGCAACACTGTATGCCGCTTTTGATTTTGTCTCTCTGTCTGTCAACCGGTCATTTATATTATTCTTTGTCACACTCATTAAAATGCAGACCACATAAATTGGATGGTATAATAATTGATAAGTTGATTTTTATATACTCTATCATTGTTTATAGCATTCTGCATGTTGTTGCCATCGCACTCCCTTGGCAGATGGTTAAAATCTTTACTAGCCTTATAAGAATATTAGTTATATGCCTGAAATTAATTTATCGAGAATGAAAAGTTACTGGTCAGTTACTTTCTTCGATTAGAAAATGAATTGGAGATAAAATTTTGACCTCAAAAAATACTACTAATGTTAGAGAGTCTGTAACAATGTATATAGGTATAGAGACAAGAACATGTACAAATTACTATAAATTAAGAAACTGAGTGACTCAACTTTTTGTATATAGAACATATATATCTGTAAATAAGTAATTTTAAAAAACTTATATAATACCTCATATATCGAAAAAAAACGGGTGTTTTAGATTATATACTCTCACCAATGGGATCTTGAAAAACAGTAATATATACAGAATGAAACTCTATATTTAAAAGTGTAAGAGTCTCTATCCTAAATAGTTAGAAAAAATATACAAACCGGAATCCAACTTGAAATATCCTGTATCGCTTAACGTGTTTCCGAGACTCCAATGGTGATAGTCGAATATTTTGAAACACCCGGTATATAGTTTAAACTAAATCGAGTAACTGAGAGTATAAAAAATATCAACTTTTTGGCGTAATGTATTTAACGAAGAGGTCAATAATTACAGTTTTAAAACTAGTATTAAATATTATAATAAAATCTTGTGTATACTTTTTAAAAACCAATTTGTGATAATATAAAGTTGAAAACAAAAAGTTTTAAACAAGTTATAATAATATTCTAAAAGAAAATAATATTTAAATTATATTCGTATATATAAAACTATATTAGGGAACAAGTTTTAGATTTTTTAAGTTATATGAAACGATCAAAGACAAAATCTAGTATTTTCTTTATAAGATTAGTAGTAAGTAATATTTTTTTTGATTTGATCATTTTTTTCTTTTTTTTGTGTAGATTGTTATACATAGAGAGGCCTTTTTCAATAGATAGAGTTGTGCCTTAGATAAAAAGACATATAAAATGCGTGCCTTTTTTTCGGTACCGTTTTTTAGATACAGTTTTTTAGATCCACCCTGTATATGTACTGTGTGTTTGTTTCAACTATTCGTGAACGTTAGTTTGTTGAAACGAACCATTTAACTGTCATTCCACATACAACTATACCATATGTGCCATATACAATGTAATACAAAAGTGTTTAGAATTTTAAAAATATTATTTTGTTTTTAAGAAGCATTATATTTATCGAACAGTATGTGTCATGAGGTAGTTTTTTTATTAAAAAACTATTCAGTTTAATTTTGTAGGACCTTTCCTCGCTCTTTTTTTCATTTATTATTTATTTTTCGCTTATACCTTACTTCATTTTACAATGTTATAATGTTTTATTTCGTGAATCGTTTGCCATAATTGAAGTAGGCCGTGAAACAAATATTGCTTTATTATCTTGTTTTGTTCATTAGCTAGTCTTTTTTTTCTTTCATTTTCTTTTATTTTGTATATATAATACCCTAAATTGCATAGCAAAAAAACTGGTAAATCCAACAAAGTTGGAGAGATTAAAATTAAAAATTTTATGCTTATTTCCCTGTACGTATAGTTTTTTAAAAGATCATAAAACATTTTTGTGTTTTGTATTCCGATAAAATTTTAAATTTATTGGTAATTTTGTTTAAATTATATAGGTATTTTTAAGATCTACATTTTTTGTATGAATCTTTTATTTAGGAGTGTAGTTTTATTGTATGTATCTATTTTACTGTGATTATGTTTTTTAACTATCAGTATTTAATAAAATACTATTTATATTGAAAAAAAAATGAGTTTCATTATTTGTCCTATTAATTAATATGCAGCTTCTTCCTCTAGAAAATGCCTAGAACCTTGTGGTTGGTGAGAAAGCTCCTAGCCTTGTATCAACCAAGCCCCTCGACTGTGAAGGGCATGGAGGGCTAAATCCCAACCGTGGGAGGGTGTATATACTCTCGGAGGAAGAACATCTGTTGTCAGATGAGGATGGGAAATACCCTGTCCCGCCTACAACAGATATAGCCTCATGTATGATGAGTTATAACTCAAGGAAGGGGGACACCCCCTCTCACTCTTTCTACTAACATTTTGAGAAGTAGCACAGACTAACTTAATTATAAGTTATATTAATTAATAAGTTAGTCTGTGATGGTCTGTGTGATAATATATATTCCTCATTTTTGCTTGTTCAACATCACTTTTATGGTATATATATGATCGAAAGAAAAACGGCTGGAGAATGACAATGGATGATGATTTTGGCGAGGTCAATCTCTAGACGTCGTTTACTAATAAAAATAAATTAAAATCTTCTTGAGGCTAACTGGCAGTAATCGCCATTAAGTGGACGCGCCAAGTAAATAACGTCTAGAACTTGACCTCGCCAAAATTGTTATCTATATGATATGGACTTTATGTTATTTGAATAAAGTCTGTCCAACGAGTCAGGCGAGATTTTGACAGAAACATTAAAAAAATGACGGAAAATACCGTTTAGCTATGAATTAAAATGTCACTGTCATCCATCCTCTCGCTGGACAGACTATATCATCTCAGAAGACAAAAAATAAGCCAGAACACAGCTTCAACACATTCACTCTTCAGAGCTGCAACAAGTCAGTTTAAAAAAAAATAAGTCTTAAGTCATGAGCCATTTCTAAAATCAAAATGATTTAAGTCTTAAGTCAAATTCAACATAAAGTTCAAATGCACGGGGGTGTCACTTGTATGGGAAAACAGGCAACAGTCAAATTTAAACGTGCCAGGACCAACGACAAAGAAAGCAACATCTGCCAGGCATTGGCTTTCTTTGTCACTCACATTGCTTAAATCATGATACCGCGGCCATTTTGCCAACAAAGAAGCTGGCCGGGCTGTCCTGGCAATTGATTTAAAACAATTTTGCTTTTTACAATATTAAATTACCATTTGGATGTATTTAATGCGATTATTCAGTTCACTGGTAAGTCAGAAATTACACACAAATACTTTATTCCTAAATACAACTAAGATGTAAACGTATTTTTGTATTTTTAGATTTCAACTTTGCAAAGACCCGCCGATAAAACTTGCCTGGCAGCGTACCTGTTTAACTAAACGTATTATTTCCTGATAATAATATCAAAACACGTAAGTACCTCTATAATTTATGATGAAAAATGATTTTGATTATGTTTTATATTATTTAAATACTTTCTAACCTCAAATAATAGTAAGATCCTTGTTTATATCGCACAGCCCGTTCAAAACTGTATTGTCTTCAAAAAATGTTTACAAAACAAACAATTATTACAAAAACAATGTCCTTTTAATCTGATTTATACCTCAGAAGGATGCCAGTAAAATTTTATTAAATCAACATTATATTATTTGGCCATTAATATGCAAAAAGGAGCATATTGCCTTAACTTAAATTTTCTTTTACTTCTGACAATGTTCTCTATATTCTCTATTTTGAGTTAGTAAACTTTGAAGCATGTGCGATATATAAAATACAAATATATCCAAGGGTATGATCTGATAAAAGTATTTTTGATGCATTTTTTGGTTGTTTATGCACGTTGGCTTGGTTTATGTTTTATTCAGCTTATATTTATTTGGTATAACAGTTTTTTTTGCCTTTGAATGGCATGCATTGAGGCTAGATAGTGTTTCATTAGATCATTAAAGGAATTTAAATTAGCATATATTTTTGTGATATTAGTGTGTTATCATGATACAGGTAGTTGTATCATAGTGCCTTATGCATGTTATTTACCTATTATATACTTATGTATTATCAGTGAATAGATGATAACATACTACTAAAATGTCTTTTTAATAGTATGTTTATCTTTCCAACTCACTAGTTATTTGCAAAATGTATTTTGAACTAATTTAAGTCATTAATTGATCATCTTTCTTTTTCAGGTTCCGGGATATTCTTTTTCATTGTTAAAAAAATATATATATATTTCAATATTATTGTAATATAAATCGCAGCTCTAACAAATAAATGATATTGTTTACTATAATAATGTGTAATTTATTTACTATGAATTTTCTCTGAAAATAATAAGTCTTTAATAATATCATTGCTTTGCTGTATAAAGTTAATAGACATATTTTTTAATACATTAATTTATATAAAAGTAATAAAAAATATGTTTATTAACTTTAAACAATAAGTCAGTGATACTTATAAAAATGGCTTTTTTAAAATTTCCCCTTTTAAGCCCCGCCCCTCCAATTCCCCTCAATTTAGCTAGTACTGCCAGGCGACACCAGATGGCGTCTGTTTCCATTTTTTAACATGAAGTTAGCATTTCTTTAATGTACCTATTCTCTGTTCAAATGATTTAAGTCTTTGACTTAAATCATTTTATTTCAAGTCAAGTCATTTTTATAAGACTAAAATCAATATAAAGTTATTTAAGTGGTTTTTATGATTTAAGTCTATATTTTTGACTTCGCAGTTATGATGATCTGGAATATAAGTTAGTAAAATGACTTAAATTAATATAATTACCATCAAGTCAAGACAACCAGAATTCAATTTAAGTACCTTTTTAAATGTTAGTATTATTAATTTTCTTGTATTACCAATTAGGCGATTTTCTTACTATCATATTGTCAAGGTGTATGTGGCGCCATCTGTCGGAGGAGCGAGTAACTAAAAAATTGTATTGCTGGTTGCCTACATTGTCGAGAAATCTGAAGACATTTTTGTTGGGGCGCCATCTCTTAATCAAGTTGACAAATAAGCGAATCAGACAATAGAATTTACTAGTGGATGGCAGAAAGCTACCGATAATTTTAGAACGTTCCAGAATTCCAACATACGAGAACATTCGAAACCTTTTCTATGCACCTAACGATCTATGGACTATTCTAGAAATCTTTAGCTGTAGGTATAAAAGCCGGCGGCTGTGGCCTAGAGAGGGCAGTTATAAATAGACGAGTGCAGTTGACACGCTAAAATTCAAAATAAATTGTTAGTTATAGACAGGGGGGTGACAGTAAACCGGAAAATTGGAAACAGTTCTGGCGCGGTCCTACCCAGGCAGAAAGCATGGCCTTCTAGACTGTCCTAGACAAAAATCTGAATATTTCTATATGATTTCTGTCAATTTCTGCTACGGAACATTTTTATGCACGTCGGCGTTCTGTTCTTTTGTCTTTTATCTGTGTGTCAGCGTCAGCTCCCGAGGCCTCTGGCAAGGTCGGGCACCATTTTAATTTTTGCCGTTTAGATTTGATTGGAAGTTTGTTTCTGATATTTCGGCTGAAATTTATAAGTACAAAGATGTTTTTTGGTATAAAGTTCCTTGTTAACACTTTAATAAAGTATATATGATATTAATTACATGAAGAAAATTATGAAATCGACGTTTCTGCGTGTAGTAGGTATGGGCCATATTATATGTAAAAATAGATAATATGTTAACTGTTTTTATATTTTTTTAGCTTTAAACCCAAGGATCTTGGGATATTCTTTGCCAAGGATTTTTCCGTATCTCTACTTTAAAGACTGATCGGTGATTTGAAAGCAATTGAAAGCAAGTTATACAAGGTAAATTATGATTATTGAACTATTATTAGCCTACATTAATTTTCTACAAGATGAACAGAAATGCGTAATTACATATCACATAGGTACCTATTATGTATTTTCATAGCAATAATGCTATAAATCTATGTATGTAGATTATTTTTAAAATACAAATTAGGTATTAGATGTATATGTATTATATTTTTTATTAATTTTATTTTCATTCAAGTCCTGTTTGATTTAATTCACAAAAGTCTTATGTACCTATATTTATGTTTTTTACATATTTTTTTGATTCCAGGTTTTGTGTGGGTTCCGGTTGCCTTTTTCCTGCTTCCAGTTATTTAGTTTTATGCCCGTGAAGCTGTGAAAACATTTATTTATCTTCAAGTTTCTGTAAGTCAATGCACTGTTACTTTACTAATTCAGTTTAACACAGCATCTCTGATATTATTTAAATATTTGATATTGATACAGTAGTTTATTGGATTATAGCTCTTTAATTGTGTTGATTTGCATATTTACATTGCTCTAAATTCCAAATAAATATTTTTGAGTAATTTTGTTGTATTATTTACTACTAGAAAGAGTAAAAGTATATTAACCCTCACTTAAACCTCCTGAACAGCCCGCCATTAAAAACCGGAAACGGAAATAAATTTCATAAAATTGAAATTGTCATGTCTATGTCATGTCAAATGTCCCAGCCGCCATATCTGAAAATTAGTTACCCAGGCAGCCACGCTGTTTCCATAATTTAACATTGACTTGACACTTCTTCTTGTTTTTATTATTTTATGGTTATAGATCGTTTGTAAATAGTTCTATAAGTCTTTTATCGTTATTGTTTTTGTTAATTAGTGTTAAATAAATAGTGTTTAAATAAATTGTGACTTTCTATCCACACGGAACCGACGAAAAACGTAACATTAGTATAAATTGTGTGTAAATAGTAAATTTAGAAAAAAATTAATTCGTTAAGTATTTTAGTTGAGATTAGTGGACCCACGGAATCCGTAACAATATTATTAATATATTGTAGATACAGATGAGAATAAGACCACTTAAAACAAAATGTTTTATTTTCAAATTAACAAATATAATCAACAATAAAAAAAATCAACATAAAAGCATAAAGAACATAAAAACAGAACTGGTATTAAATTAAATTTTATTGTATTTATTATTTATACAGAATGACCCATTTTCCCGTGTTCTACACGGTTTTTCGTTTATGAGCAAGTACAAAGATATGCTTTTCACATTACTATGCTACCTTTTTATGAAACTAAAAATGGTACACACATTTGTCTTGTCCCTCCATAGTGTCCCTCTTAATTCTTGAAATACAGGGCGAAATTGAAATTGTTACATTTTTCGACTTGCCCCAACTCTCGGATATTATAACTTATCGAAAAGGTGAAAAACGAGCTTCATAGATATTTCCAAGTAAAATCCAGTGGCACAACTAAAACCAAGATACGAAGAGCGTCAAAAAATTAACATTTTAAAATTATTCGCCTTGTATTTCAGGAACAAGTTGTGAAAAAGAAATGCTGCTGTTAAAAATTTAACATAAAAATATATAAAAATCTAACGTAAGCCTTTATAAAACTTTAAGATTTAAATCATTTTGATGGCTTAAGCGTTTTATAAAAAGACTTAATCTTTTTAATGACTTAAATCTTTTCTAAAAAGACTAAAATATTTTTCTGTTTCAGAAAAAAGATTCTGATTAAATCTTAAGTCATAAGTCAGCTTTCGAAAAATGACTTAAATAAAAAAGACTTGTTTTCTGTCAGCTTGCAGCTCTGTCACTCTTGAAATAAAACACAAATAGATACATAAATACACCCGTGTATTTACACTTTTTTGTTTTCATCTTAACATAACAGAACCATTCTAAACAGATTCTTGTACAGGAGGCTCGTATCCCTCTGGCCGGTCCACCCTCGAACCCGCATCTCCTGTTGCACCCTCTGTTCCCTTCGCGTCGCCATGGAGCTCCAACAATTTGGATAGTTCATAACGCGGCTTCTTCAATACCTGAAAAACATTAGACATAATTTGTAAAGGGTTTTAAAACTTTGTCAAAAAATTCTAAATCAAAGAAAATCTTTTATCAGAAAATTATAAATTGCGTCGTTAGGGAACAAGAAGGTATCTTCATGTTTGTATCAAAGCGAGCTGAGTGTCTCATCATTTAAAATAAATAATAAAATAGAAATAAAGTATCCTGATTTAAGCACAGTCTCTACACGTAACGTTTTACGTTGTACTGGGTGTTCTATTTTCGTGTATTTTATGGTTTTTCGTTTATGAGTGAGTAGAGGTACAAAGATGCGTTTCGTGTATTTTATGGTGTTTTTCGTTTATGAGTGAGTAGAGGTACAAAGATGCGGTTTTCACAAAAAAAGTAGTACAGTGATACTACTTTTTTATGAAAGTAAAAATACTATACACAGATTCTTCCTAGTCCTCTTGACACTTAAGAGTCTTAAGCTTCATTCAGAATCTCGCAATTAGTGGAATAAATTAGTGGTTTCAATTACACTTTTTATACTTATACTTTTTAGTTTAAGATCATTTACAATGTCTAAAAAACACAATTAAAATTAATAAAATGTCCTAGCAACAGCTTGCTGTAATAAATTGTATCCATAGACAGAGCCTAATATTTAGCATATAAAACAATCAACTTTTCATTTTTAACCACAATTTCTCTTGAAGGATGATAATCAAAGGCCAAAATGACCATTACTCGCAAATTTTGAAGTATAATTAGTGAAAAAATCAAAAGTTTGATAACTTTTTCTACTAACTCAAAAAGACTACGACTAATTTTAACGTTCCGAATGCTTGCATTGAAATTAAAAGAACAAACTTCTGCGCTAATTGAAGCCACTAATTTACTCCACTAAAAGTGAGGTTCTGATTGAAGCTTAAAATTTGATAATTTTTTCTACTAAATGGAAATGTCTACTACTAATTTTGACGTTCTGAATGCTTACATTGAAATCGCAATTAGTGGAATAAATTAGTGGTTTCAGTTAGTGTAGATTTTGTTTTGGTTTGGTTGCAAGTTTGTTCCTTGATCAAAAGTTGATTGTTTGATAAACTAAAGATTAGATTCTTTTTTTTCGAAACAAACTGAAGAGAAAGTTTTAGGGAATTAATTTTCACAAACATTTTACTTTTCATTATTTATTCTCTGAAGTAAATATTAACGGAGATAGCGCATTTTTTAGTTTGTCAATTAGAGATTTCCACCCCATTAAGAGCTCGAACACACTGACGCACCGGCCAGGCCGCTGCTATCTGTAAAACCATTAAATCAAATGATACAGCACACAGAACACACTAAAGAAGAACGCTAACTCCCATGCATTTTTTAGTTTCAAAACAGTTTCAAATTTGTAGAGAAATCTGTCTTTCTGAAACAATATTTTCTAATTGGTAAAACATAAAAATCGTTAGATCTGACAACTTTGTTTCGTAAGTGAGTTCGAGCTCTGATTAAACCAATCAACTATAATAGGTACCATATGATCGAATAAAAACGGCGTCAGCGATGGCTATGAAATGAAGATCGCTGTCATTTTATATGTAAAATTATATTGGAAATGTCATCGATCGTCATTTCCAAGCCAACTGGAGGCCATTTTTTTTCGATCATACTGCATAATAGGTTTTCATTAAAAATGTATTTTCAATAAAAACAAACAAGTATAAATTTAAGCATTAAAAATAAAAACAAGGATTGTTTGAATAAAATTATGTCCTTATACATACAAGAAAATCTGCTATGACGCCATCATGAGTGCCATTTTCATCAACTAAAAAACAAAAGTTTCTGCAACTGATTTCATAACACTTATCATGTAGAACAATTAGAGAACAGAATCTCTTTGTAAGTGCAAAAAATAAATTTTAGTTGATCAGCAAAGTGATATGAAAACTGCATCTTTCTATCTCTACTCATAAACAGGAAACCCCATAAACCACATGAAAACGTGACACTTTGTACAATAATTTGATCAGACCAAATAAACAGAATTACTTTATACATATTTCATCTCTTAATATAATTAACTATGCTAATTTTTTTGAGCAATAATTGTCTTACCTTGACTTTCCTGACAAAAACATCATGCAATGGATAAATGCCTTGACACGCCTTTTCGATGTCTTTAGCCATGCTGTCCGGCAACAATTTATTAACCACTTCCTTAAGGTCGCTACCCTGTACGTCACGTGTAATGATATCGACCATCTTTTTACGAATTGCTTTAATCTATAGAAATATAAGAAAAAATCATTAATATTTTTGATATATACCTGTATTTTTTTTAGTGAATAATATTTAAATTATTCAGACAATACATTTAAATTAGGGAACAAATGTTTCTTCATATTTGTATCAAAGCGAGCTGAGTGGATCATCATAACAAAATAAAATTTTTTACTTAATTTTATTACTTTTTTTAATCTTTGAACTTACTTGTGTATGTTGGGCATAGCACGTCTTTCTTTGACTCATTTGATCCTTTTGCGTAAAACCAATGCAAAACACCCTCAAAAGATAGCCATCGGATGTTTTAACATCAGCTGAAGCTTCAATAAGCGATTGCCATTTCTTTACCATCGATCGAAGTTTGTCAGTGGTCAAATCCATTCCATGGAAGTTTGTCAAGACATAGCGTCCTTAAAATAGAACTTCCATTAAAAAAACAACTTAATTTGAATCTATTTTAATATACCTTGAACGTCCTCTGCAATAAGACGGAATTTCCTGAAAGACCTTTCTGCATCGTTGTCATTTTGTAAATCGGCTAAACTTACTTCGAATACACGACCTTTAAGACCTTCTGATGCGATTCTGGTACCCTGTGTCCGGTTTACTAGTGTTTTACCTACTTGCCTCGTAGCAAACATAGAAGGTGCTTTCACATCGTACCAATCTTTGCGGGTAAATGGATCAACTCTGTAACAGAACAGTAAAAAAATAATAAATAGGACTCATTCCTAACAAAATAACTGATTATTATTATTTATTATTGTTAAGCACATCAATTACAGTATAAACATATTTAATAACTATACTTCACATATCACCCAAACCTATGACCAAAATATCTCTTTTTATAAGAAACATCTTAGAATTATTCCTTCACGTATATATAAAATTGGAATTGTTACATGATATTTAATTTATTTTATGTAATATTTTCTACTTACACCTTCTTTTTAACTCCCTTTTTGCCACCTTTCGATAAGCCCTTATTTTTACCGACCGCCATTATTGACACTTTAATGAAAAAGAAACCATAGAAAAAAGTGGAATGACATCTGTCCAGCCCAGCCTGTCATTTGTCACCACGCAGGGTTGGCACAATAATGTCGCTCGGTGACTTTCCAGCAGGGTTCGGAAGTAGTTAATTAAGACGTAATTTACCTGATTAACTACCTATGATTAAGACGTAATTTACCTGATTAACTACGTGTCATTTTCTACATAGAAAACTACGTTAATAACTATGTCTTGATATTATGAATAATTTTCCATTGTATGAGGGTACGTATATAGATAATATGTAAATATATTAAAGCCATATTTTTTCTTTTCTTAGCTTCAACTTATTATAACCTCACCTCAAACCTTTAAATATTTGATATAGGTTACATAAACTCCACCCTCTTCATTTTCTACATTAATGTAGTATGTGTTTTTAAAGCACATGTAGTTTTCCGAACCCTGCACCAGTTTCCAACCTTTGCCACTTGACATAGGTTACATAAAAACTACATGTTACCTCTACATAAACTACATTAACTACATGTAATGTAGTTTATGTAGAGGGTGTAGTTTATGTAACCTATGTATGTAACTTTCAAGTATCAAAGATTTGAGGAGTTTATAATAAGTTGAAGCTAAACACATAATGTATTTAAGAAAACAGAAGAAATATGGCTTTAAATATAATATTTACATTATATTATCTCTATTACACCTCATACAAAGGAAAATTATTCCTAATATCAATACATAGTTTATTAACGTAGTTTTCATGTAGTTAATGAACGGGAAAAGACATAGTTTTTGAAGATAAACTACACGTAGGTAATCCGGTAAATTACGTCTTAATTAACTACTTCCGAACCCTGCTTGCAACGCGGTTCAAAAAAGTTGAGTAAAAAACATACAAAAAGGTAATACCGTAAAAAATAATGCATTTTCTTATTTTATTTTGCACATAATTTTTACTTATTGCAAAATTTCCTGTAACAAATGTAACGAATTCAACATTTGATTCATTTGTTCCTACCTCTATATCTGAGAGAAACTAAAATACTTTATTTTATATTTCTCTACGCTTTATATTATATATCTCTATGCTCTATATCCTATATCTCTGCAATGTAAGAAATTGTTTTTTACGCGTATATGAAACATGTATGAAACCAAATGAAACATAATTTTATTATATTTTTCTATATATCTATAATATTTCTTTATATAAAAAAGCGGTAAAGCTTTGTTTTGATTTGTAAATTTTATTTAGCCCTTATTTTTCTCAGTATGGTAAGAAGAAAAAGCTACGAAGCATTTTTTTTTAAGTAAAGCCTTTCATATATACTGTGATCTGTGATATATATCAATTTAAAGAATCTAGTGATTTTTGTTTTTGAGATTGGTACTCTTTTTCAATAGTTATTTTTGCTTTCAGTTTGCAGTTTTGTTTACTTCATTTCAGTAATATGTCAGTAATTTCGGTAATTTCCTTCAATTTTCGGTTTTCGGGTTTTTGTGGGTTTTAAAAACAAGAAATTCATAAAGTTAGTGTTTCTGGAGATATAAATTAACTCCAAACAAACACATCAACTAACTTCTAGTTATTTTCATTACGGTTATTAACATTAAAAGCATATGGTAAGCTAAAATTCCTATCGGCAAATATGGCTCACAGTAGACATGAAGGCGTTTCAGTTACACACCAATTTCTTATAGATTAAACACATAATTTACTTTAAATTGTGTCTTTTAAGGCTCATACAATATTACTGGTTCAACCAGGACCAAATCCGGAGACACGGACGTATTCTGATTATGAATCTATTAATGAATGCATGGAAGGCGTTTGCCGAATCTACGAAGAACATCTCAAGAGGAGGAATCCTAATACACCAACAATAACGTACGATATTTCACAATTATTTGATTTTGTCGACCAAGTAAGTATAATTTTTAACTTCATTAAATTTTTATGACTATATAATTACTTTTAGCTATCAGACTTGAGTTGCTTGGTTTATCAAAAATCGACCAACACATATGCCCCATATAATAAAGACTGGATAAAAGAGAAAATCTATATATTGCTTCGACAAGCGGCAGGACATGGGTTATAGGTACCTAGTTTAATTTTGTATTTTTTTTTTGTAATTCCCAGAATAGGGCTTTTTATGTTACAATATCAGTTTAAACTACAAGTTTTGTAAGAGATATTAAAGTAATACATTTATTTTCAATGAAAAACTTATTTTTAATATGTTTTTATCCAGAAACAATATTTTGAATTGAAATTTATTATTTGATTTTAGTTTATTAGTAAATTCCTATTTCAGTGAATTAGTTGATTGTTAAGTAGGAAGTTTTATTTCTCCAAATTGCTTGGTTTGGATGAAGATAATAAAAAAAATACAGAGTGGTTTCGAATTGTATTTGGTAAACTTCGGTAGCATATTTTGCAGATAAAAATGACCAAAAAAGTTTGTATAAATTTATGTCCTAAAATGCTTGGTTTTGTAGATACAGGGTGTAGAAGTTTCAGTTTTATTTTCACTTTTTGGAAACGGAAGGTAGCTGGTACGGAAGGTATAGTGAGAATCAACCTTAATTTCTGAACTAATGTCGTTTTACAATCCAAATAATTTTGAAAACTGTTACTCATATAGCAATTTTTACCAAGAACCATTTTTAAATGACTTAATGACACTAATAATTTTTTTTTTAAATAAAAGATTATTTTTAATATGCTTTTATTTACAAAGATAAAGAATTAAACATTTTCATTTGATTATTTTGTACAATATTTAAAGACCCTTATTGTATATTATTTAAAGAATGTTCTATAATTAAAGTACAATAATGTCAATCTGTTTAATATCACTTTCCACTAGAATTTGTTGTATACTCTCAGAAAAAAGTTCACTTCCACAAATAATAAATTTAATATTTTTCGCACTTTTTATAAAACTTTCAATATTACATTTTTTCAATTTACAATTATGTACTATTTCGTTATATTTTTTAGAAAAAGTCTTATTAGTTGGATTAGATATAAACAGTTCGTATTTAAAATTCCAGTAATGTGCCAGGCTATAGATTTTATCATGTAAAATTATGTTATCGATAGTACAACAAAAAGATAAATTTATCACAGTATAGCATTCTTCATTTTCTAACATTGCACATAATATACTATATACAGGAGCTATTCCTGTACCCTGTGCAATAAAAAGAATGTTTTTCCATGAAAAATTAACTCTAAAATCACCATACGGACCTCTCCATAAAGTTTCGCTACCCTTTTCCAATAGTTTTAAATATTTTGACATCTTGCCGTTCTCATATATTTTTACAACGATTGTGAATTGTAACGAAGGCTGATCTTCAATAAAAATAGGTGTATAAGCCCTACAGAAAGATTTACCATCATCTATAGGGCTTTTTAACAAAAAATATTGTCCTGGTTCATAGAATAAAGTTAACTTGTCTTTTTCACATTGAGAATCATTACTGTTTGAGTGTACATATTCAAAAGTATATAAATAACTATCAGTTGTATGTTTTTCTATATTTAACAGTTTGAATACAGTATAAGATGTGGACGTTATACAATTACGTTTTTCACTAATGATTTGAAAGTTTTTGTATTTCTTGAGCTGTGCTTCGTATACATCAAAAATACATGGATTACATCCGGAATTACAACAGTCTGAATCATTGGGTTTCACAGGAAAATTCATTTCTAGGACAACACATGATCTACATCTAAATATTAGAATTTTTTGGTTCAAACCATAGTTCAAGCACGGCATATAAATCACAAGTGGTTCAAGCTCAAACTAAACGATTAACTGGCACTGGACATATCAACCTAAAGTGCAAAGTGATCAAATAGTTTTATAGACTTCCTAATATAATATCAATTCCAGTGGGAAGTTCAAAATATTCCTGCAAATTCAAAGTATTTAATTTTTCTCCCTGTTTTGTATTATTTGCATTAAATTATTTATTTAACATTGCTTATGGATTTAAAACAACGAAAAATTTGGCACTGACAATGACAATCACAGATGACAATGTTGTCAAATTGAACATTGAACACAACATATCTAAAGCAGAATAAAGCCCTCCATCAGCAGAATGCAGAATGGTCATTTTTTTCTGCATAAATAATGGTATGTCACCTTGGGTCTATCTAAAAGAAAATATTCTACGAAACAAAGTTTGTATTAAATGTTTATTAGATTTATCATGATTTCGTAACGATTCAATTCATTTTAGACCATTTGTAGACTTACAAAAATATTGATAGATTAGTTTCAGGATTTCGCTAATAAATCTTGGCAACCTCGAAACGCTTTAGTTCAAATTTTTCTCACTTTCTACAGTGGCGCCACATACATTCTTCTTCTTTTTCCCAATTTAGGTCTAAAAAAATCGTAACCACAGAGTAAAAGCAATGTTCTTGTTCTTTAAATTTATGATTTGAAGCATAAACAACCACAGATTTAAGTCGGCCTTGTGGTCGAAATGATTGCGCCGCATTCTAGTAGACGCAAGGTCGCCGGTTCGATTCCGGCCTCGGACATGGGTGTTAAATGTGTGTGTGAGTCTGTATTTGTCCAATTTTAAACGCTAATTAAATAATAAGAAATAAGCTGGCTGAATGTCGTAATAGACAAGTGGCCAAAAATAGAAAAAAAAAAAAAAACACAGATTTGATTAAGATTTCTCTTCTTTCTTCTTAAATGGCTTAAACCTATATAGGTCATTCGGCCAGAGGCCAGAGTTCCTTGGGCCAGAGTCAAGAAAAAATATAATCAAAAGGAACGAGTATGAAGCGTGTCTAAATTACAATCTATGGTTAATTATTAGACAAAGAAAACAACAAAAATAATACGCCTAATTTTTCTATTCAAAGTACTCCTAACGTAGTATCAACAGGGTTCGGAAGTAGTTAACTAAGACGTAATTTACCTGATTAACTACGTGTAGTTTTTCTTCAAAAACTACGTCTTTTCCTGTTCATTAACTACATGAAAACTACGTTAATAAACTATGTATTGATATTATGAATAATTTTCCTTTGTATGAGGTGTAATAGAGATAATATGATGTAAATATTATATTTAAAGCCATATTTATTCTGTTTTCTTAAATACATTATGTGTTTTTAAAGCTTCAACTTATTATAACCTCACCTCAAACCTTTGATATTTGAAAGTTACATACATAGGTTACATAAGCTACACCCTCTACATAAACTACATTAACTACATGTAATGTAGTTTATGTAGTTTTTCAAAGTAACATGTAGTTTTCCGAACCCTGAGTATCAAGTGGTATATTCATTTGCCCACGTTCATGCTCATTCTCACTACTTCTATATCTCTGCCAAAGAGTAGATAAGACTTGAAAGAAGTCTTATCTACTCTGCCAAAGAGTAGTAAGAAGTCTTATCTACTCTTTGTCTCTGCTATATCTTTGTATTTAACTCAAAAATGTTCACAACCCTGTTTGACAGTTTCGTATCTAATATTTATTGATCTATGGGCTTTGTGTTATTGTTTACTTTTGTATTGTATGACTTTTGTACAATTTTTTCTCCGTTTGTTTGGGTAAAAATTTCTACAAAAAGAATAAATTTAAATAATCAGTTTGTAGCATAGCTCTTAGGGAACGTGAGTACATTATAAATTAATTAGTGACTATGGTGAAGCGCGATGTTTCATTATTAAAATCTGATGTGTAAAAAGAATATTTAATATATTGTAGGTACTTAAAAACATGTTTTCTGAAGATCACAACAGATACTATCTGCTGCAGCAGCATCAAAGGTACATATTTTATGGTATATGCTTAAACTATAAACATTATTTGTTTTACTCATGTTTTACTGCATACCAATATATATTGTTTGCTAAACAAACTATTTGTTCTTAGGCGGTCCTGTTTAATAGATAAGAAAACCTTACTTATTTTAATATGTGTGATACTACCTGTTACATTATTTTGTACTACTTACATGATATTATTTGGGATCTATGAAAAACTCAGCTATCCGAAATCAAGCATTTATGGGTTCAATTCAGATGGTGAGCAGTGAACAAATATACAATCGGTGCATCCCTAACCTGAACATAGGAAATCCCATGTAAATTTTAAAAATGAATAAGTCTTTCCCATTTTATGTTACAAAAAAATATGGATTTGAAACTTTTTAAAGAACTTCTTAAAATAAAGCAGATTGTTCATTTTGAATAATTTATTCAAATGTAAAAAAGTAATAATAAGAATAAAAACACTTTTATGTACCTCTAGATTTGTAAGGAACCCTCATCATTTTTAACTTTTTTTGTTACCTATAATTTCCTATATTCAGGTAGGCGATGCAACACATGACCACATAAACAACTCATTTAGAATTACACAGAACATGTATTTTTTAGAAATGATCCATAAGAATGTACACAGGGCTGTTTTGTATAGCAATTACAAATACTCTCAGAACTATTCTGATATTCCTGATAACTCCTATTTAGATGAACACAGTATTAATGAATTCAAATTAATATGTTATTATAATTTTCCGAGTGATTCAAACGATCTTCAAGTAAAGGATATTGATCCGTTTTTGTGTACACATATAAATGTTGCTTTTGGAACTGTTCAGAATAATAGTATTTATTTAGATAGTGATCAAATAGGTAAGTAATACTAAACATCATACTAAATAAACTTTTATTCACGTGATTAAGCTTGACTGGCACAGGGTTGCTGACTTTTACATATTTTCTTTTAATCAAAATATATCAGTGGCGGCTCGTCAGGGTAGGCAAGGTAGGCGGCGTCTACCCTAAGATTTTGGCAGAATTTAAGCAATTTATTACATTACATTATTTACTATTAATGTTGCCAATACATAAAAATACTGTTAATACACGGAAGTGTATTTTAATAATCAATATTATTTTAATAATTGTGGTCTTGTCATAGACTTAAAATAAAATATAGACTACACTATTTACATCTCAACGCGGACAAACAACCTTTTTTGTACACATGTTTACTTCTGGGTACAGTCGACCGAGCCTTCCTCATCCAGCCTATGTTGTCACGTCTTTAATATTATCAATATTTTTTTTCTTGTTATACACATATATTGAGATATTAATACTACAGTTTAATAAAGTAGGTTTTAATATTCCATAGATGTATTAAATAGTCCTTATACTACTAAATTATAAGTCGGATAATGTTTAATAAGTATAAGTTCTTTACAATATGACAACACCGATTAGAGGCGAAGGAGCCTATTCATTCATTTATTACCTTGTAGTACGTGTCGCACGTGTGCGGTAAAGCTTTGTTGCCGCTATCTCCCCGGCTGTATTAACGCATTTTCTTAGCTTGTAGTCCTTAAGTGTTTATTTTATTGACTTTTTCTGTTCAAAATGATATAAAATATGGTTCGCCAGTGCCAAATTTGAAAAAAAGAATTGACTTAAATAATCCATTTAAGTCTTGAAACGACTTTTGACCGGTACAACAGATCTCAATTTACCCATTGGCAGTCAGTGGCGTTGTTGTAGAAAGGCGCTTATTTAAATAATATTTTAGTAAAATGTAAAATCTGAATTTTTTGTTTCACATTACATTAAGGTTTGCTTACTTACATTGTAACAAAATCATAATGTTTTTATTTAAAATATATTCCGAATTATCTTCAGAATCTAAAATAACATACAATAATTTTAAAATGATATTACATTATGAAACAATATTTTTTAATATACCGGGTCGTCTCAAAGGCTTTCAATAACTTTTGTTTTTTTTGTTACTAAAAACAGATTTGTATGTTAGTAGGTATATGACATAAATTATGATTTGAAACGTATTCAATTGTTTTAGTCTCTTCCTGTTTCAAACGAAATGATTACATCTTTTGAATTTAAAAGGCACCTCGGTATATTGCTACTTTATTCGATAAAAAATGACACTCTGAATAGAATGACATATCATATGTCAACTTTTGACATTGTCGCTTAAAATATATAACATATTTTAAATTTCAATCAGTTTTTTCAATCCACTAAGTTTTAATCAAATAGCCTTGGAAAAAAGTTTATGATCGTCTAATAGGTTTCGTGTCTTGTCTAGGCCGGATAAAAGATGTACAAGATCATATTTTTAATTAATAACATACTTGACTCATTAGCATATTTGGAAAAGCTGTTATTTTTGCTTTAGTTTTGTCCTAAATTTTTTTATGAATATATTGATACCACACACTTGGTATTTCGAGTCAAATTGTCGTTATGAACCGCGTGTTACAATTACAATTAAACCATATGCGAAAATGTCAAAAAGTTGACATATGATATGTCATTCTATTCAGAGTGTCATTTTCTATCGAATAAAGTAGAATTACATACCGAGGTTGCCGTTTAAAAATTAAAAGTTATAGTCATTTCCGGTGAAACAGGAAGTTACCAAAAACAATTGAATGCGTCAATCAATCCTAATTTATTTCATATACTAACATACTAAATCTTGTTTTTTGGGTTGAAAAGTATAAAAAATTATGTAGCATGAGCCACTTTTGAGACGCACCCGTTATAATAAAGACAGTACCGAGTTAAATAAATGTAGTTTTTATTTTATCCACTTCCTATCACCTTCCTTGCTTTAATGGAACAGATTTATGTTTTCTCCAATTTACATAATAAGACATCACTTAACCAGAAAAAAATTACAACAATCATACAAAACTAAAGTATCCAAGACGAATGACAATATCAGGAAATAAATAAATAAATGTGGCAACATGACATTTTTTACTGCAATAAAAATTCTAAACTCAATTCAGACGTATGGATCCAGCGACATAGGCGTGCAAATTTAGGGTTTAGATTAAAAAAAATAAAAAATTTAAATTAATACCGTAAAAAAAATTTCTGTCAAATTAGAATAACTTTAGTTAGTAAATCTAATTGTTATTCATTTATGTTATTACATTTCTAGGATATCTTCGTAATATTACTAAGCTGAAAGAAGTGAATAAACAGTTAAAAATATTATTGTCCATTGGTGGTTCCGGAAATGGAAATGGTTATCCTGAAATGGTCAAAAATCATACAAACAGAAAAATGTTAGTTTTTTTCTAACCCTTTTTAATCAGTGGTAAATAATTATTTGTATTTTTTAGGTTTATTCAATCAATATTAAGTTATGTGAAATTGTATAACTTAGATGGTATTGATTTAGATTGGGAGTTTCCGGTACAGTATCCGAATGGCGACAAAAAGCAAAAAATGCATTTTACACAATTATTAATCGAAATTAGAGAGAACATAGCTAGGTAGGTACTAAGTTTTATCAAGGAAAACCAGCAATTTTCAAATTTCAAATTCATAACGTTGAACTTGAAATTATTTTTTAGACAAAAAAAATATGCATATCTATTGACATTAGCGGTTGCAGCCACGTCAACAATTGCGGATATGTCTTACGACGTGTCATACATAAACGAGTAAGTTACTTTTAAAATGATAATAACTAGAGATGAGCAAAACTGCGATTCTCCAATCACAATAATTGAAACTGCGATTGCGATTTTTAAATCGCTGCGACTGTAACCTGCGATTGCGATTTTAATATTTAAATATTGTACTATGGTATATAATTGTCTGTGTATATGCTATAGCTTAACAGTTGTTGACATATGATATGCGATTCTATTCAGAGTGTCATTTTCTATTGAATAAAGTAAAAAAAAAATTGGGTGCGAGGGTGCCATTTAAAAATCAATAATTGTAGTCATTTCCGGTGAAATAGGATGAAATGATTGAAACGAATTGAATGCGTCAATCAATCCTAATTTATGTCATATGCTAACATGACGTTTTTTTATCAGAAAAAATAAACTTATAGGGGCGAACCAGTTTTGAGAAACACCCAGTATATTATTAATCTTGGCCCTAGAAAAACATACTTTCTCTATAAATAAATAAAATCAGCGAAAACATTCAGTCGCAGTTTCCTATAAAATGCTTCAATGGACCACAAAATTATATTCGCAACAAAACCGCAAATCGCAATTCCTAAAAATCTCGCAAATAGAAGATTATCATGGTCCTAGCAAAGTTTACAGAATAAAATATTCTATAAACTTTGGTCCTGGTTTACAAAATCACAATCGCAGAAAAATCGCAACTCGCAACTATAGTACTATTTTTTATTGGTTGCCTAAATTGAAACTCAATCGCAAATAGGAAAAATCGCAAATCGCAGTTTCCTATGAGAGCCAATCGCAGGTTGCGATTGCGATCCTAAAATCGCTGCGGTTTGTTACTCATCTCAAAAGGTGGGTATTCACCTACAACAAAACACTCCGAACGAACCAAACGCGCCGCGCGCGCTGTATCAAATTTGTGTAGTCAGTACGTTGCGCCGAACCGAACCGAACGCGCCAAACATTTTCCGAAGCTTGTCGGTAAACGGGATTTGCTCAAGAGAATAGGTTCGTTGGCCGGTGTTCAGTGGATACGGCAGTTTTGAACGTTCGTTGTGTTTGTGGTGTTTTTAAACTGTTCCTAGCTATGGAATGGAACAGAGAAAAGTGTTTAGAGTTATTTGATGAGTTTGCAGCCTATTTTATGGGACCCGACAAATGGGACAAATTATAACAAAGTAAAGAAGCATGATGCTTAGGTGGCAATTGCTAATAATATAGGGTGCACCGTAACTAGGACATAGCATAGAGATTCTCAAAATCCTCTGAAGTCATCCTTGTAAAATTTTTCATATTCATATAATCTAGGTCACTATATAAGTAAGGCCATATTTTGACGGCGCAAAAAGAGGCGTCTTGCACACATTTTTCGTTTTTTTCTTTTTTTCTCTTTTTTGTTACCCGCTAATGCCTTTATAATTAAAAAAGCACCAGCTGCTATGGTAATATTAGATGCATCCATGTCGACAAACACACTAACACTGATTACTGGTGGGAACGCAACAAACACCGCAAACAGGCGGAACGCTCCGCGCAAAATGTTTTGTTGCAGGTTGTCCAGAGCGCGCCCGAAAAATGTTTTGTTGCAGATTGTTTGGAGTGCGCGGCGCGTTTGGTTCGTTCGGAGTGTTTTGTTGCAAGTGAATACCCACAGGCCTTCGGACTTGGCTTTGAGGCCGGGCCTTTTACCCAAAATACCATAGATTTGCTTGAAAGGTAAAGTCCGCGGATATATTTCCGCTATGGTAATTTGGGTGAAAGGGCCGGCTTTGAGGAAATACCATAATAAAAAAGGCAAGTCCGCGGACTTTGCCTTTCTCACAAAACTATGGTATTTCGGCCTTGAGACTCTCTAGCAGCTCTAAGCTCTCTTGCAATATAAGCTATAATATGTTTTTTTCGAAAAATTACTGAGTTATAGCTAATTCTTATCTTTTTTGAGTAATTTCACTTAGTTGGTATGGTATTCTTGTTCTATTATAATTTATAAAAACGATCATATTATGGTATATATATGATCTAGGAGTTTAGCTGGTAAACCTGGTTTTGCGATGGATTACAATCTTATAAGATGACAGCAAGAATGAAAATTAACAACAATTTTTATTTCAGTTACGTGGATTATATAAATCTCATGTCGTACGATTATCATTTTTACACATCGCTAACTCCATTTACTGGTATAAATGCCCCATTATATTCGGGTTCAAACGAAAAGTATTATATGGCCACATTGAACATTAATTATTCTAGTCACTATTGGAATTTTATGGGAATGGATAAGAGTAAAATTGTTATTGGATTGCCTACTTATGGACATAGCTACAGGTAATGTTATTCATATTAATTATTAGGTGGCAACTACTAAATCGCTCTATAAGCCTTATTTGTTTGATTTATTTTGAATAAATTTGAAACTTGCGTTCAAAATAGTAATAATACGTCTTCCATATACAGGGTTGTTCACGCTACTGGTTCATTAAAAGTTTTTTAGGATTTGATTCAGATACAAATTTGAATGTTTCAATATTGGGACGCTCTATTATTTTATTTTATGTCAGAAATGACATTTGAAGATCGAAAGATAATTCAATATTTTTTATGGGTTTCACCTTTGAATAAAAATATTAAAGACGGAGCATATAAAAAATCTTAGATCGACCGCGACGGTGACCTAAAATGGCCAACTTAAATTCCGGTTTATCAGTGCCGTTCAAATTTTATTCAAACCGTGTAAAAATATGATGTAGGGTAGACTCAATAATGTGTTATTTTCTTTTACGTTGTCAATAAAATGTTGGTAGTTATTAAAATTGTTTTAAAAATATATACTTCTAATAAAAATAGATAAGTTATAATAATTATTTATTAACACAAACATCCGCTTCGCTACTGATGCAGGTACATAAAATTGGTGTATCTAAATTCTTTAACATCTAATCTTTGACAAGAATTAAATAAAAGCAAAAATGCAAGAAAAATATATAATTAGTTAATTTTAAGTGAATTTCATAAATGATCGGTTTACTACATATACAGGGTGTCCCACTTAAGATGGATACAAGCGAATATCTTGGATGTTTGTTGAGCGATCTTTTTCATTTTTGGCAGGAGGCTGTATGGCTATAAGACGTACATTTTGCCCAAGGTAAGAAATGCGATACCTCATAGACGTACGTTTTAATGGGGTTTGATATTTTTCGAGTCAAGAGTAAACTACCCTTAGGACAGTATTTATTTCAAATCTGATAAATTATATTGAATCCTCCTTACCCAAGATACTTAAGTTCTAATTTTTATTAATATTTATACAGGGTGTGTCATTAAAATAAGACATTTTTATTATTATTATTTTTTTAAGTACTTACGACGCCACTGGATAAACAACTGGTTTATTATCAATAACCAATTATATCCAATTATCAATTAATAATCCATTTAAGTTTGGTCGAAGATGATGACATTTAGTACATTATAGTTTTATAAATCTTTGTTTAGAGCATATTTTCCAAAGTTAATAATGATTGTTTTAAATAACTATTTGGATTTTTTAAAATATTCCTCAATAAAACGAATAAAAATCATATTTCAGATTCTATTGAAAACAGGGTTTTTAAATTATTTTGTAACTCGTTTTATTCATTTGTATTAGCAAACTTAAAAAACAATTTTTTAAAGTAAACAAAATAAATCGGAAATATTTAGTTTTTTTGTATCGTATCTTAATTATTATGGAAGCTATCTGAAAACTTAAACCGATTGTTAATTGATAATTGGTTTTAATTGGTTATTGATAATAAACCAGTTGTTTATCCAGTGGCGTCGTAAGTACTTAAAAAATAATAATAAAAATAAAAATGTCTTTTCATTTTAATATATACACACCCTGTATCAATATTTATCAAAATTAGAACTTAAGTATCTTGGGTAAGGAGGATTCAATATAATTTATCAGATTTGAAATAAATACTGTCTTAAGGGCAAGAACGGTAAAATAATAGGATTGCTCATCCTCATAAGACGTACGTTCGCCTCTTCCCGCGCTTCAGCTGATAGTTGTGACGTAATTGTAGTCCTTGTCATGATAGTGTGTATTATTAGTTGCCTATGGTAAACTTATAAAAATAACAGCTGAGAAATTTTGAGTTAATTATTTTGTCAATTTTAAATGTGAAAAAGGTGTTTTTAAAGTTTTAGAGCTATAGAGTTTATAAACACGTTCATTTTGTGTTGTGGATTGTGACAAAGTGCTTACTAAGTGCCTACGATATTGTTTATTAATTATTTTAAAGCAAACTATGGAAGTACTCTAAAAAAGAATGCCTGGAAAAGATGATGCTGGGAACTGCTGTTCTTAAAAATGCAGTATCCGAGTATTTAATATGATTTATACAGTTAATTTTCTATACTGCATACATATAAGGTGTTTAAATAAACTAAATAATGAACGTTTTGCATCCGGCAACCAATAATGCACGTGTGTGTATTATTGGTTGCCAGATAAGGACTAATAACCATGAAATGTACTACAATGACGTCACAAAGCGATGAGTTTTCGCATGCACCTGGCTGACACTTTTGGCTGAATGAGCAGTCCTATTAGGTTAACTGTTCTTGTCCTAAGGGTAGTTTACTCTTGACTCGAAAAATTTCAAACCCCATTAAAACGTACGTCTATGAGGTATCGCATATCTTACCCTGGGCAAATACCCCTATAAATAAACGTCTTATAGTCATACAGCCTGCTGCCAAAAATGAAAAAGATCGCTCAACAAACAACCAAGATATTGGCTTGTATCGATCTTAAGTGGGACACCCTGTATGTATATTATACCGATTTGGTCATGGAAACTGTGCGGTCTGAATTTTAAGTTGTCAGACAGTAATGTGAACAGCTTAATGGAAAATCAAATGTATTAAAAAGAGATAAAAATTGGGTCGACACATTTCTTCTATGCGGTATTGCCGGATTTTGCATCAAAACTTCAAACCACACAAGTTGCATCTTGGGTTGGAACTTTATTTTTCACTATTAGTTACTCATTTTACTACAGCTGTAATAGATTATATTTAGTTTAGATATGTCTTAACTGTCATTTTTTCTAGCCATGAAAAACACAACACGCAACCAAACGCAACGGGGAAATTTTTCGTCAAATTTAAAGTGTTATATTTTTGTTATTTTTAGTCCTATTTTCATGAATTTTTTAGCAAGCTGTATATAATTATATCAACTTTAATTCGTAAACTCAGTTTTTTTATAAACTTTAGTATTTGGCATATTATACAGGGTCAATCGAGGGGTTGTTTTTTACCCTAAATTTAAAACACTCCGTGCAATATTTTGTGTGTAGATTTTCCTAAAATATAATTTTACGGTTGGTCAGGTTAGGTTGTTATTATTACCTTATATTTTGTTTTTTATTCATGTTAATACATGCTTTGGTTAATTTTTAAGAGCGAAATGTAATGATAATGAAAAAATTGCAAATTGATCGCGATCAGTTCATTTCGGTATAAAAATTAACCAAGGTATGTATGGACATGAATCAAATGCTCAGGAGTCATGGTTCTGACCGTAAAATTGTATTTTAGGAAAATTTACACACGAAATTATTGTACAGAGTGTTTTAAAGTTAGGGTAAAAAAACAACCCCTCGATTATTATTATTATTTATTAAACGCTTCGTTTATAAATTAAAGTTGTTATAATTATATACAGTTTGCTAAAAAAATCATGAAAATAGGGCTAAAAATAACAAAAATATAAAACTTTAAATTTGACCAAAAATTTCTCCGTTAGGTTTTTTTGCATCTGGGTGTATTAATTTCTACATTGCTAACTGTCTTAGTTTGTTGTTTTAGATTACGAAACGCAAGAAACCACGACATATACGCACCGGCTTCCGGTTACGGCAAACTAGGCACATACGGCTTTGCGTCTTACACAGAAATCTGTAATTTTCTGCAGACAAACCATATTACGCCAGTGTTTGATATGGAAAACTTCAGCCCATACGCCTCTAAATATTACGAATGGATATCCTTCGAGGACGAGCAAAGTCTAACCTACAAAGCCGAATTTATCAAGAACCACAATTTCGGAGGTGCAATGGTGTATTGTTTAAACACGGACGATTATACAGGTATCTGTAAAATGGGAAAAAATGGTGGTTCTAATTTTCCTCTTATTAAGACAATTAAAAATGTTTTGGGTGATAAGGAACTATAACGGTGACGGTGATTGAACAGCAAAGTAAGAAAAAAACATCTAAATAAAATAAAGTTGTAAAATAACTACAATTTGGGAAAACTATGTAACCAAAGAATAATTGAAGTAACTTAAGAAAATTATATTTTATATTATACAGGGTGTGAAAATACTAGTATACCAATCTCACTTTATTCAAATTCCTACTAGTTACCTGTCAAAAATTTACTTACATCACGATTTCACCAATACTAAAATATCTTGAAAACCTTTTACTGTGTTGAACTAAACGAAGAACATCTTTCTTACGTAAAAAACTCCCAGCATTTTAATGTGATCTTGAAATTACTGTATCCATTAAGATATAGATGATATATTACTGTATCGTTTCAGAACTGGTAAGGACTTTTACACTGAAGTTACACACTGGTACTATTTTTTTTACTCTGTATAAGTATTATCTATCTCGAATATTATTGTAGTAACCTAAAAGCGTTGTTTGAAATAGTTATAAACATGGCTCATGCAATTCTGTACTGTGTTCTCTTTTTCTTAAATTAACCTTAATCCATATACAGAGAAGACCAGGCTACTAGTAACATAGCAAGTTGCCGGACGAATTTACGTTTACCCGTTTTGCGTTCGTACTCGAGAGTCACTGCAGGCTAGTCGGCTGGTCAGGCAGTACGCAGTTGCAGTTGCGCTTGGACGGGTCGGTCATGACAGACTAGGAATATGAGTATTTATTATTTTTATTTTCAGTGTTTACCTTCACTTAAGGTAACATTTAAAATAAAAATACTTAAATATTTATTATTTGAGTGTGTTTACAAGCCAAAACTAAAAATAAATAAATTCTCTAAACCCAAAAAAAACTATAATATTACTCTAAATAAAAAAAGTTATAACAAGTGTTCAAAAAGACCACCTTCTTGTGCTAGGCAGAAGCCTAGGCGTTCGTAAAACCCCCGTCTGACATTGGCTAACATATTAGGGCTAATAGTTTGGAAAGCCTCTCGTATTTTTACTTGAAGCTCATCCAGATTATTAGCCCTATTATGACCATACACTTGGATTTTACATAACCCCACAAAAAAAGAAATCATTGGGAGGAAGATCTGGTGATCTAGCGGGCCACAAAATAGTTCCATATCCACTAATTAAACGGTTGAAAAGTATTGTTCAAATATTCTTGAACAATACGGGCATTGTGGGCAGGGCAACCACCTCAGCAGTTTGATTACTTGAAAACGTGGGATTTTGATCCGCGGTAGCACAAACGAACACTTGCTTTAACTCCTGTTCTTCATTAATCAACACATCAGGCTTTTTGTGTTTTTGTGGGGACACGCACCCATGTGTTTCAAAATTATTAATAACTCTTGATATAGTAGGTAAAGATAGAATTGGCCTGTTTACAAAAGTTTGTGGAAAAATTGTTTGTATATCCCGATAAGACCTATTTTGGAAATACCATTTTACAATTTGAATTTTATATATTACTGTATTATATACTTAAAAATAAATTTTACACGAGAACTGTCGCGAGAATCTACGTATTCGTTTTGGCTATTAAAACACGAATAAATACAAATTCTGAAACATTCTTATCACATATCGACCTAATTTTATTTTATCGCATTTTTTCGCCTGCTTTTTATCCGGCGGACGGGTATACACTAATTCGTCCGGTTCTGCCTATGTTACTACTAGGGTGGTCCGGTCTGTATAGTTCATATCAAATAAACTTTTAGTCACGTGATTAAGCTTGACCGGCACAGCGTTGCCCACTCTTACATATTTTCTTTTAATTAAAATATTGTAGGAAATAAAAATAAATTAATTAATTTAAATTATTTACATAACAAAACTCACCTTCTTAACAGCATTTAAGGGGCATAAAGGGCTATTACTACCGCTTTCCCGTTCAAAATATTCTAATAAATTTGCGATGAGTTTTTTACGGCTATTAAGCTATCCTGTACACTTTGCACTAAAAGAGGTTCTAAAAAGAACAGTGTTCGGTTGTAAGGTCTGCTAGTAAACATTTTTAAGCTTAAAGTATCACAACACTATTTAAACCAAAAACTCGTTATACAAAACTGAAGTGTTAAAACGAAAATTAACTACTATATGGATTATCCCCTATACCTGCAATGTGTTGAAATTGTACTCGAGTCAGAGACAACTAGATAACCGGTCCACATAAGTTCTTCTGGTAGGCAAGCACTGGCGTACTGTGCAACACCAAAAATAGATTGGTCATTGTCGAACGCAGCGCAAACGAAAACCATACGAATGAATAGCTGATTGAGCTGATGCTAGTGTCTAGTCTCTTACTGGTCTAGTTATCCAATCGATAATTCAAAATCCACGCTTGCGCACTATGTTTCTGCTTGAGTAACTGAACGACTTATGCTAATTCCTTCAGATGATTTATATACCCATTTCACCGACTCGGCTTCACAGAATGAAGTTAGGAGGCGATATACTTTAGTTAATAATTATATGCCTTACATACTAAGGTTATTATTTATTTAATTACAAAAATGAGACACAATACAAAGTAGCTTGATCTATCTTTATAACTGTTTCAATAAAAACACGTTAAAAATGATGTGATTATAGATATATGTATATGTGATTTATTACAATTAAGATCTCGTAATAATTTTTGATATAATATTGTAAATATCAACATTGTATAGAACGATATTTAAAGAAGTTTTCAGGACTGAATGAATTCAACTATGTTTTATAGTTTACTATTTATGCAGCAAATAGCAGTATTGTAGTTAATAATATAAGGGCTCGGAATAAAATATAAAGTTATAACTTATTTAGTTGGGTTTGTTTTACTTTATAAATTATCATTTTAAAGTAAAAGTTTATATAATTTATTGATCTTGATTTCTGTGCAATTTTTATGATAATAAGTCTGTGATGTAATCTTGTACCATTTATGGAATTAAACTTATTAGGTTCTAAGTTACTTATAAATATTTTAAAAATAGCGTGAATATGCATTTATTATAATAATGGAAGGGGTGGCTGCAATAACCAGGCAACTCCACTTTTTTTCGAAAATGTGATTTTTAATGAATTTACCCTTTAAAGAAATTGGCCGATCGTTTCCTGCAACAATCAGTTCTCTCAATATAACAGTACATAAATGGCGACGTTAGTTGTACCTGTCTTGCTCTGGATTTCCAGCAAGAACCGAGCAGCTCTTTTTCGATTTCCCACAAATTTATTAAAATGGAGATGCCTGGTTATTGCAGCCACTCCTTCAATTATTTCGAAAATTATACCAATCAACCATAATACCCTAAAACACTTTTTAATGTTAATTTATTAAATATTAAACTGTTAACAGCAGATTAATTACAACTGTTTTTATAATTAAAACTGATTTAATCAGCTTCTGATGATGCTAATATTAATCAGTGATGTGTGCGTGTCGATTGTTATGTTTTATTGTGGTTAATTTCTGTAATTTTCTAACACTATAGAATCCAGTCTAAGTTATAAGAACATGCCACGAGCGTCATCACTTAGGCGTCGTTTGTCTCGCTTGCACTGACGCGTCCTTGATTAGAATTAAGAGAGAAGGCGATACCTGTTGTTGTTCTGTCACAAATTACCTATAACAGATGCGAAAGAAAGCGACTGCATCGGAAACCGTTCGGCAAACCCGACACACCTATTGAGTGGTGTAAATACACCAATCGTTTAGTCCGGAAACCCATGCTGTGTCGTATTCGCTTGCTGGAGTGACATAGTGCGTGGTTATATGTTCCTTTTTAAAAACGCGTGTAGGATTTTTGTTGAACTTTTGAAGTGTTATTTCTAAGTTTTGGTAATTTGTATATCTTATTTAAAATGGTATACAAATGTGTTTATTTATAAGGAAAAAAAAAAGATATTTATAGTATAAAAAATTAATTTATTTAACAAAATTTAATTAAAAATGTGACAAAATAGTTACCTTTCTATTGGTTCTATCGGACTTTTTTCGACTATATAAATCTTTATTTGTAAACTTTAATACATCAAATATTTTCAATCTAATAAATCATTTAATGATGTAAATAAGAGGAAATTTCTCACATGGGTGGTCAAATTTTATAGTTTTCATTATATCAAACAGCCTCTGAGAAATGTTTTCAACTCAAAATGCCTTTAATTATGTTTGACTACATCATTAAAAAGGGTCTTCAAATACATCAATGTGATATTTGTCTAAAATTTGCAAAAGAATCCGAATCTCTGGATAACTCGAAATTATTTACCCATTTAAAAGCCTTTGATCATGAAAGTGGAAAAATTTGTTCATTTTATTTACAGGCTGGAAAAATTATTTATATTAAATTTTGATGAGTTTTGCACTGAAGAAAACATTCAGAGGCTGTTTGATATAATGAAAACTATAGAATTTGACCACCCATGTGAGAAATTTCCTCTTATTTACATCATTAAATGATTTATTAGATTGAAAATATTTTATGCATTAAAGTTTACAAATAAAGATTTATATAGTCGAAAAAAGTCCGATAGAACCAATAGAAAAGTAACTATTTTGTCACATCTTTAATTAAATTTTGTTAAATAAATTAATTTTTTATACTATAAATATCTTTTATCTACAACCGTTTAGTTATAACGTTTTTACATCACTATTTTTTTGATATTTCAATTACGTTATGAGACACATAACACAACTAGTGGTGTTATGAATCTATAACACAACTAGTTTTTATAATAATGAAAAACAACTACGAATATCTAAATATATTAATTTTTGATACAAATTCCTACTACTAATTATTATAAATATTAATAACACATTTTTTACACTTCTCCAAAACAATTCTAATTTTTAAAATTATTTTTCTGGGCAAAAAGTGCTCGCGTTTACTTGACCGGGCAAACTGACTTTTCAGAAAAAAAAAAAAAAATATAATTAAAAAAATGTGACAAATGTCATAGTTAAAGGTCTAAAGGTGGGCGACTAATAAACGAAAATTAAAACAGCATTTTCTTATTTTTCGGTTGTAGATAAAACGTTGTACATGACACGTGCGTTTAAACATGATTACATCACTCGTGTGATTAGAACGACTCAGTCTACGAACTCGTCGTTCTAATCGTTCACACTCGTTGTTGTAATCATGTTCATAAACACACTTGTACTGTAAATAACTATTTTTTCCTAATCTCCTACGAACTGATATAATATGACGAGCAATCTATTAAATTACTGTGAGATTATATGCCTCGATTATATATTGGTGCAGATTATTTTCACCCAAACTATACATTGATGCGGATTGTCTATGAACTCTTTCTGAAGGTCACAGAAACCTGAATGCGTAATTCGGTGTTCTTTCGCATCTGTTATAGGTAATTTGTGGTTCTGTGACGTTCGTGGCATTTTCTTAGTTGGTTTGTACTCTACATTGATTAAAATATGTACAGACTTTCTTAATTAACAGTTTATATTTATATTTGTATATAGGAGCTTAGCTATTTAAAAATACGATAAAATATAGCTGATATGAAGGAAATCCTGTGTTTTATTTTGAAAATACAACCAATATCCTGAAATCAGAAGTGGGAGGTCATTGGACCGTTTTATTATAAGGAGGGGCGGCAAGG